CGTGCGTAAGTCGCACTTCGCGCTCGCGCTCGCTTAAAAAGGCAAAAAGATCACATCGGTTCTGCGGGCTAGGATACACATAAAAGTCGACATCCAAAAGATCTCTTACTGGCAATGAAGTGGCCTGCGTTTGTTTTTTTTATTCCAACTTATTACGGCAGGACTTCAATCTAAATAAACACAGGAATGAGTATTACAATTAAAAATATTGCATGGCTTTTTGGAACATTGCAAGGAAATTTCATGATTTGGGATGTCTTGAAAGCAGTTTGGATAAAGATCACAATGAATTATGCATCTCAATATTGATTGAATATTGAGATTGAATGATCACGTCCCATAACGACAGACCCCATGGAGATCCCACAGGGAACCCACATGTAGGCTTAGCCACGGATGATTGAGTACCCACTGAGGGAGTGAATATCAAAGGCAGCCACCTATCCCCCTCCTCTAAACAGATGAACATGACACAAAAGTCATTATTTTAAGGAAGTGATTAAAAGGAAAACACTCTCTTTAATATATCCAATATAAACCTGGAAAAAAGCTCTACAAAGCCATTAATACTTATTTCTTAAATATATTCCATGTAACAGTAGGGTTTATTACCGTACATTACAAAATTGAGGCAAGGCAAACTAGCCAAGGACCTCTCTTCTCTTAGTGTTTTTAAAATTAAAATGAATTAGAATGAAAATTCATCCATAAATGCTAAAGACTTTCTAGTCTAGGAAAACTATTTAATGTAAATGTTCTATTTTTGCTTTTAATTTTATATAACACCATTACTTTTGCAGAGCGCATACATGTGACCACTCTGGTCAAATAAGTATTCTTCATATGAATATCAGAATTAAATATCATGCCGTTTATTATTTTTGATGTTAGAAGACTGGTAATGTGCAATCAACACTTTTTGCTTAACTGTGATTGGCCCAACAAAAAAGCTATGCCACCTAATCAACCAATCTGATGTAAGTCTCGCTTTGGTTTTGTGTCCATGCGTACTTTGTTTCACCTTTGCAACCAATCAGATGCAAAATCAGTCTAGATCACCACTTAGATACATGCGTTTCCCACACTCAGCACTAGCTACAGAGAGGGAAGGGGGGGTGGGGGAGAAGGGTGGTTCTCTTAGTACTTGGCAAGTTCCTTATCTAACTCATCCAGATCTGCTAGAGCTTGATCACTCAATCTTTTGTCGTCTTCAATCTTCTGCTTATTTTCATATTCCTTCTGCAGGGCCTGTCTGTATTCCTCATGCCTCATGACGACCTGTTCCACTTCTTTTTTGTACAGTCGTTTTAGCATTGTCTGCCAACAATCTAGCTCCGCGTAACGGAACAAATCCCACTGGAAAAGACAGGTGCAAAACTTAAATAAGTGAACAATAAGAACATACCTCACACAAATTTTGCAACGTGAAAGATAGGCATGGCAAAATTGAGATGAAATCCTGTAATGCATGGTTGCTAAGAAAACTAAATTATCAATGTAAAGTGTGCTGTAAAAAAACTTGGTAAATGAATGATTTAATTTGCACCATTTAAACACGACAAAAGAGGCTTGTCCTTCATTGTTCTCATGCATTAACCACAAAAAAGTTGAATTTGAGGAGTAATGATAACCTACTTACACCCAATTTATGCCTAAGGAATAATAGTTCATATCTAGTGCCTCACAAGCTGCACTTAAATCTTACCTTTAGAAAACAGTCATAATCTGGGCTAGCCTTGGCATAAATTTGCAGCCATTCAGGTATTTCTATTAACAAAAAACATGCAACATAGTACATCAATAAAATTAAATGTGAATAGATTCAGACATGATGTACAAGTAAAGAAATAATATTTGCAGGTAACCTGGCTTTGAAAGGATTTGAACCCACCCCCTCCCCGATACTAGTTGGGAAGAGGAGGGGGACATGGATTCAAATTCCATTGATGCCTGAATTTTTTAAGTAAATAGAAAGTATTTCTGTCTTTAAAGCTTTTTATTAGTATACCTTCACTAATATATGGATTTGCTGGCACTAAGGGATTCTGTGCGGGAATGGCTTGAGATTCTGGACGTCCAGCATCTGACACCCTCCTCTGTTGATGCTGCTGGTGCTGGATGAACTGTGTTTTCACTGGATGTTCATACTGCGTTATCTTTGTGTTATGACTAAGTGAAATAATAGACATATCGAATAAGATTAAGCCTTTGGCCCTCAGAGAGACTAGCACCTCATTTCTGCTTGCAACATCACCCTTGGATCACACATAAAGATCACGAGTATGAAGGAAACGATCACCAACAAAAGAAACTCTTGATTTTTTAAAAAATTGTCCTTGTCAGAACCTTAGGAAATGTGTGGGGAATAGGCACACTGACAGTGGTGGATCCAGGGGGAGGGTCCGGGAGGTCCAGACCCCCCCTATCAGACCTGATGCTTACAACTTAGAGACTGAAATTCTTACATCCGCAGGATCGTATATCACTTTTTAACTGGCTGATTTTTTAAATTAATGAATCCAAGTAAACAGTAAGCAGCCAAGGAATTATAGCGTGCCACCGCAACTGGTGGGAGGGGGTGTGGGGGAGAAGTAATTTGCCTCAAAAGAGTCCAACAGTCCTTTCTGAACCAAAGTTTGGACCCCCCCCCCCAATCAAAAATTCCTGGATACGCCCCTGACTGATATCAGGGTGTAGAGGGTTAAGCCTTTGGGAGAGCGAGTTATAAGGCATGTTTCAGGTTGATATCATTATTTTTAAGCCAGCTCTGGGCTCTCAATCATCTATGAAAAGAAAAAGTTATGAAGAGGGATCATTATGGTGGTTGCTGAATTAGCTATGTACTACGTTGAATTTGTACTCAATCAAATATCACTCATTTGTTTTAAAATTAATTCCTTCTCACATACTTGACATAGTAGACCCCAAAGTTTGGGGATTCAATTTTTTCCCAGCCATCTGGTAAACCTGAAAATAAATTCTCCACTTAGTTTTTTTATCAGTTATGCAATAAATGCTATGCTTACAGATCAAATACTGCCCAAGTTGAGCTTTACTGTGCAATTAATTTATATTCTATCAATATAACAAAAAAAAGAGAAAGAAAGGAGATAAATTCCTAGAGAAACTATGGTGCCACATGAGTGATGATTTGGTTTTATCAACTGAGTTGATAGGTAAACGTAAATTGGCCTCTGTAAAGAGATTCTAAACCTGGCATTTTGTTTAGAATCTCTTTATGGTGGCCAGTTTATAAATTCAACTTGGTTGGAAAAACCAAATTATATTAAAGAAAATAAAATAATACTGTACCTGCTTTCTCGAGAGGGTGACACCAATCTGTTGTTTCCGTGTTGTGACTAAAACAAGATGGAAATTTGTTTGTGTTGAAGTAAATAAATACAGGTACAAAATGTTACAATTTTTTTCAATAGTCCATTTTGCAGTTGCCTGCTTGGTTGCCAAGCCTTTGAATAGGAGTGGGGCTTATAAGGGTGACCTTGTTATGATATAGACATTGTTGCTTTTCAAATGTAAATCACTTTGTTATCATGCTAACTAGATACTGGTCTCTATCACAACAAGGTCACCTTCAGCCTCACCGCAAATCAAAGGCTTGGCAGCTACGTACAAAATTGTAAAATGGCCTCTTGCTCTAAGACACCAGAACATCAATTATTACAAAAACAATTAAAATACAGTTTGATTATTCATGCTTAATTACCCAGACAAACAGGTCTTTAAAACAAAGACAACTGTTATGATTATACAGTTAAATGAAGCTGGAATGCTGCTGCATTGAGAATAAGCTAGTGTTGCCAAATCATGAGAAATAATGGAAGTTTATGTTTTTGATTTGTTGATGTCCTGATCCTCAATGTGATTGGTCACACAATAAAAATTCCCCAAATAATGGGGATGGGATAATGGAATAGCAACAAGAATTTACCAGTGAACATTCCACAAGACAGCTTTTCTTGTCCACTGTTTCCAGGTTGAACTGGAATTTGAAAGTTGGTTTTTATTGGGAAAGGAAAACCAAAGGATGCAGAGGAAAACTCCCAACATAAGGACAAGAACCAACAAAGTGCTCAAATGCCAAATGTTATGATACCACAACCAAGAATCAAACCCAGGCCACAATAGTGAGAGGCAAATGCTCTCAACACTACACCATCCTTGTTCCTTAAAAATCCCAACTTTAGAGGGTGTTATACTTTTCTGAGTTGGTTGGTATTTGTTAACTTACTCTATGTAATATTTTCTCCCGTCCGGAGTCCATGACACTTGGAATCCAGGAGGAAGAGAGAGATCTAATTGGTTTAGCTGACTGCCATTAAACACTGGAGGAAGAAGAAAATTGTTATTAAAAAAAACAAGAAGAACATTGATAAAAAAAAAAAATCAAAACTAGGTGGTAAGTTTTAATAAACTTTTCCCTTATAAGTGAAAATGAAGTCAATATCACAGAGAAACAAGCAAGAGAAGAGCAATACAACTTAGAATGAAGGCTTCATTAAACAAAAGGGTATATAGTTTTACATAAAATTGATCCAATGGACACATTTTGAATAAAGCTTAATCAACCTAAGGTTGATAATCAATTGAATAGACCAAAAATGTAGAACAGTTCATTAGCCAATATTTTTACTTAATGTTCTAGTTATCAGTGTAAATTTGAACAAAGGAAAGTAAAAATAGTTCAAGTTAACAGGGAGTACAAGTTAACCAAGTTTGAGTAAACTGATGGTAAATGATGGAAAAATTGGGTCAAATCCAAGGGAAAATTGCATTTTTATTCCAGTTAGCAGGGCTCTGGTATTAATAAAGAACTACTCCAAAATGATAAACTACAGTCTTTCTCTTCACCTAAATTCTTTTTGTCATTCATGTTTCCAGAGGGGAAGAATTTCTCACCAAATCCCCCTTGCTGCATGGTGACAGGTCCTTGCAGTTTCACAGCAGATTCAGTCTGCGAAGTGTAGATACCCTGACCTCTGCCAGAATATGACAGACCACTATCACCATACGAAGTTAACACCTCACTTCCATTTTCACTAAACACATTGTTTGAAGATGCAGGACCCTGATTTGTATAGAATCTAAACCTTTGTGATGCAGCATCTGGTATGTAAGGCTCACCATAAGACAGATCATAACTGATTGAATCTTGAACATTAGAAAATGGCTTTCCACCATGCACATTGTACAGTCCTTTATTACCATACATGTTTGAAACATTCTTTGGTGCATTCTGTGCATAACTGTACCCACCAGGAGTCAAATTTGATTCACTCATAACTTTCTTGTCCACTTTAAGCTTCGGAGGTCCATTTACTAACCTACTGTCTAGAGAAATACTATCACCTGAGGGCCCAGGGAGTGCTTGGAAATGACTGTAAGAAGGAGGGTGTCTATAATTTGATTCCTCAAGATTATAAAAAGCACTGTAATCACCGGCCATTTTTCCTGCCCTGTGTGAATAGAAACTAGCTCCATCGAACTTCGACATGGTATCCACAGGCTCTCTGTATGGTGGAGGATGCCGATACTTATCCAAAGAGCTTATAGAGTGTTCCATTTGTTCAGGATATGGAGGTGGGTGTCGGTATCCCAATTTTCTAGCCTCTGGAGGTGTTTTATTAGTAGTGCAAGTCTGACATGATTCTGCAGTCATCTGCAGCCTTTGAACTGCTTCTAAAATATCACCCATGTTATTGTTCCTACTGTTTTCAAAACTGGACTGGGACAATCTTTCTCCTGCATCTGGCAAATCAGGATGCAGATGACAACTGTGTGGTCTGTTGGGATTGCTATCATGAGCCACCATTACAATACCAGCGTTATCACTGCTAGCACAGTCCATGATGTACGATTCTGAAATGTCTGTTTCCGAGAGTACGGACTGGAAGCAAGGTGTTGATGCACATCTCTTCAAGCGTTCTTGACATAAAAAATATTAAAAAAGGATGAGAAAAATGTGAAAGTGTAACTGTAAAGTGTCTGTAACTAGATGGTTGTGTGTATGTGAAACAAAAATTCCCCATGGTTTTATCTACGTGGGGTAAGTTCAGGGTGCAAAAAAAAAAGTTAAAAAAAACCTTCGCCTTTCAATTAGTATAAAAAGGATTTTTTCAGGCTTAATGTTACAAGAGCAATTTAATGTCAGATTCCAAAGCATTAGAAAATCATCTAAATGACTGCCTCACGCCAACAAGTTAATACTGTATTGATTAAATTAAGAAGCAATATCATAGTATTTTAGTCATTTCTCTAACATTGAAATTGCCGCGATGACTACAGTGTAAAAAAATATTGATTCATCAGACCAATATATACTAGATAGCAGTGACTCTGAGACTCAAACTTAAAATTCAACCTTTCTTTCAGTGATTAACTGTTATCTCATCTTTTCTTTATCGCAATGGTTCTAACAAAGCTGAAAGAAGAGCTATTCAAAGAATTCAAAAAAGCATGCCGTGCGATAAATCAATTTTTTAACAAAAATGCCACTGAGAAACAGTGGGTACGACATCTCGACATTTTTAAGAGAAAACTCATTTCTTCAATTGAAAATATTTGACTTATATAAAATAACACAGCTGCAAGATCGCTATCTTCTGATGTAAACAAGCGAATCAAGAGATATTTTCCTGAAACAACAATTTCGAGTATGTGATACACTCGAATCAGAATTGAATGGTCCAAATTGCCTGGGGCGGTTTACTTTTTCCAGAGTACGATCGAAATGAACACATGATTGGAATAAATAACGACCCGAAAATCAGCAACGTTCCTTGCAAATGCTATGCAACGTCATTTGGTGATCTTTCCCAATAAGAAGGATAAAACTACGCGATAACACATTCCCATCGGAAAAGCGGATTTGATAACGTACCTTCAAGAATTTCAGTTGTGTTTTCACGCTTCTTGTATTTGCCTTGCAGCCGTTCTTTGCCTCCTTTCCCTTTCTTCTTTACGAAGTACTTTCCTAAGAAGGGCATCTTCATTCTCGTTGATGATCAAGGCAGGTTTGTTGCTTCAAATATTTCGAAAAGAAAATTCCATTCTTTCCCACCACATAATTTTTGAGTAATGCCTAAAATTGTAAACATGTCATGAGTCTTCTCGGATGTCTAAGCAGTAAAAGGAGTGGTAAGGAGTTCCGATAATTCATCGACTGCAAATTTCCGGCCGTTCGGCGATCGTCACACACTCCGAAGAATCTCGAATAAGTATTGACTTATAATCAAAATGGTTGCTATGGTCACAAAAACCCTAGATGGCAGAGATGGCGGCCGATTAAGCCTGAGCGTACGAGACTACGAGATATATCGGTGATTATTTCTTTTTCAAATATCAAAAAGACCATGGATAGTCCAAGTGAATCTGGAAGCAGTGATTTAGACAGTGATTTTCAAAATGCCAAGGCCTTCTTGCTGAAAACAAGTTTACATTCGAATCTAAATGTGTAAGTACTATATTTTGAGGTCTCGTGTGAAGAGTTGTTTCAAACATAAACACCATAGATAAAGTCTTATTTTGTCTTCTTTTTTATGTAGCTACGACCATCTTGCAACTGTGATTAGAAAGGTCTTGGAAGAGAAGCCAGAAAATATATCAGGCAAGCACTAGTTGCGTTAAGTTTTAGTGGTTCATGATCATAATTTGCTTTACTTTGCTTTGATGATGATCGAGCGCTGTCTTAGTTTTCTTGTCGATCCATTGATGTGTGCTTCACCACGTATTAAAGTTTTTTCCCTTTATTTTGCATTGATACAGACTTGATAGAGGATCTTGTCAGGGATGAAAAGAGAGCAAAATTTCGTCCCAATTTGGACACTATTCAGGTAATGCAATACTTAAGTGGCACTGGACTAGAAACTGAAAGACTTCTCATAAAGTGTACAAGAAACAAATTTTTAGAAGACGAGGTACATTGCTTGGACAAATTAAAAACTGCTCTTGGATCAAGAGGTACATACACCCACGGGACAAAGAGAAGCAAAAAGTCCTCTCTAATTCAACCCATACTGTGCAAAAACTTTTCATATGATAAGTTGAATTTTACATGCATTTGATTGGCTCTCACTCATGATCTATTTATTGGAGGACAGACACATTGTTAACATCACATTTAACAACTTGATGCTTTTTTATCATATAAAACAAATAGATTCCATGTTGATGTAGGTCTGTATATTAATAGATCAAAGCACACATCAAAAAAAAAGGTGATAACATCAGGGACACACTAAGTTATGTCTCATGTGCCACTTTTTGTTCTTACTACATTTTGATGTCTTCTGTGAGCTATTGAACAGATGCATGACAATGTGAAATTTACCTTATGTTTGTTAAATAGTGCCCTCTTGATTGGTCAGTTTCTATAAGCGTCATGATATCCACAGAGATAAATTACAATGTTGTTATTAATGGTTTTATAATTATATTTCTTTTCAATTTTCTTCTTCCAGAATAAAGAAGATGAATCTACAGAGGTAATACTTGCAAGATCTCAGGTGGCATTGTTTGAAGTAAGTTGTATTGCATTTTTCAGAATTCATCAGCTGCCTAGAGAAAAAAAATGTTGATTGAAAGGAGCATCATATGTTGGTAGTTGTCAGTAAGAAGTAGTTTGATGATGGTGTCATATCCTCTCTTGAACTTAACAGTTACTTTCACTCTTCTATCGCTGCTTGCCATAATATCAACAATCATGTGATATCTTTGCACCTGAACATGGTTGTACATGCATGGGAGCCTTGAAATAGGCACATTGGCAAGCAGATCAAAGGTGTGGGTTGCAAGACTTGGCTGGGATCTGTGCTCTTGGCAAAGTCTCTTAAATCCCAGTTTCTCTTTCCACCACAGAGAATAAATACATGTAGATTAGCACCTCTACGATAGACAAACATCCCAATGCTGGTTTCATCGTACCGATACCTCATGATTGGGCAGCTGTAGGAGTTAGTCTAATGGTTAATGCGTTGGAGTCCACTGGTCGAGGGGTCTGGGTCCAATAACTGGCTGGGTCTTTGTGTTGTGCTCTAATGGGCCAAACACTTAGCTCTCACAGAACCTCTCTCCATCCAGGAGTATACATGGGTATTGGCAAACTGTCAGAGTAGCCTGGGGGAGGGGGGAAGAAGGCAAGATAACTTTGTGATGGACTGCTATCCCATCCAGGGGGAGAGGTTGGGTAGTAGTATTATATTTCCTAGTCACTTCAGGCCATAGAAACCAGGATGCAGGCTCCAGCTACATGGCTCACTCAGTTCAAGTACAGAACTAACCTAATACAAGGGTTTTTTTTGTACCTGCAATCACATTTACAGAGAAAGCCCACGGAGCAAGAACTGGAGCCCTTGATGCAAGATCCAGATATGGAAGAGGAGCAGGAGGAGGTCCCATTGCCAGATCTGATGGAACTTGCCAACTACTTTGAACAAGCTGGTGTCGGCATTGGCAGAGAAGAAACATTTAGGATATTTCTGTCCTTGAAGATTTTAATTGACACATACCCAATTAGAACATGTAGATTTTGGGGTAAGAGCAATAAATATAACTCTGTGGAAATTAGAGATAAATATTTTGGATTATATTTTTTTTTGTAATGGATCACTCCTTAGAAAGATAAGTGATCTGTCTTTTAACTGAACTGATTTATATTTTATTCTAACAGGTAAAATATTCGGCATCCATGAAAATTACTTCATTGCTGAAGTAGAGTTCTTTGAAGGAGAGGATCCCGAGGAGCCACTTGATGATGAACAACAATTAGAACAACAAGAGGTTAGAACCTGTATGCCTCAGTTTATACATATTTCCTAATCAGCCCGATATCTGATGTTTTAGAGATGTCAAATTAAGGTTCGCAACAGAAGGCCAGACCTGGTGGCAATTGATATCCCTGTCTTCTTTGGAATTTATAGCCCACTTCAAATCCCGTTAGGAGATGTAGGGTGGCCTGGTAGTTAGTGCACTCAACTCCAGATTAAGTGGTCTGGGTTTGAGCACTGGCCTGGGACATTGTGTCATGTTCTTAGGCAATGCATTTTACGCAGTGCCTCTCTTCAACCAGGTGTTTAAATGGGTATGGGCAAAATTAATGCTGGTGAGTAACCCTTTGATGGACAAGCATCCCATCCAGGGAAGAGTAGAAATATTCCTAGTCGCTTCATGCTATGGAAAGGGAAACATATGTGCATGTGGCATACTATCCAATTGTACAACCACAACACATACACTGTCCTATTAGTGCTCAAATCAGGCTGGTGATTTTACAAGAATTTATTACAATTAAAGTATTGTGGGAAAAAAATTATGAAATTCAAATGCAGTTGGAAAGTGAGTAATGCATTTTAACATTTGTCTTATTTTTACTACAGAATGAAACAAAAACAGACATCACTAAAGAGGGTGAGAGATATATTGTGTTTCAAACCAGGTCAAAAATTAACTGTTACCATAATCTGAAAAAAAGGAAATAGAAATTTAACTGATGAAAAAATTCACAACCAAAGTAAAATTTGAACCACTGTGCATTCACAAATCACAACTTAATTACCAGTAATAATTATTTTCGATGACCATAAATTTCTTCCTGCCTGGCATTTTAATTAATTGTGGTTTATATTTGTGCAATGTACTCAATATACAGATGTTACAACAGGGAAGGTTTCGTGGACTTGGCCAGTTTTTGGGTCCTCACCAAGAGAGACTCGCACACACTCTAGTCCTGATTACATCTACCTTAATTTTTATTGCTAAATCAAATTTCTTAAATACCTATTGGTGGCTAGTTTTTACATGATTGAATATGTGAGGGAAGGCACATGATTTATAGTAAACACCTTAATTCGAACGTGAGCATAATGTTTTGTTCTACCCTATTTAGCTACATAAATCCTGCTCTGTTAAGATTACACTTTGCACACTTTTGCATCATATTTTAGCTTTACAATAATCCAGTAATTGATTTATTCTTAAACTTAGGATGACAGGTCACGTTTCAGTGCGCTAAGGTCATGCTTTCTTTAGTTTTACTACACAGATATAATTATTTACAAGTCTATCCTTTTTTCGCAGATTTTGATGTAGAGGAAGATGATGCCCCACAGGCAGATTTCAAACCACCAACAGCAATCCCCAAAGAAGAAAACAGAACAGGCTGTAACAAGAAAACATACTTTGTATCCAATAAACGTGAGTTGCTTCAGACTCAAAGATCTTTATTTTCTTTTAACCTTAACTCCACCAGTGACCAAGACAGAATTTCTCCTAACTATTTCAATTCAATATCAAACAGACAAGTAAGGAGAATAAAGAAAAATATCAACTAGGGGATTATTGGTTGATCTAATACCAAATTCTCCAAACTAATATCATAAGAATATATGGCACACAGTAAGGAGAAGTGCAAACATGTATTTACATGTGTATGTTCTTGTCAATGGTTTCCGTCATTAAGAAGCCCAAAATTTGTCATAGGTTTGGGACAAGAAAATTCTGAGTCTTCCTTAGGGATCCCTAGTCTGGCAAGTTATGTTTTTATCAAATGGGCATCAGAAAACCTGTTCTCTTAAACAACACTTTTAGACACATTTGTATTACAGTTACTCAGGAACAATTTCTTTCTCCCTGCACCCCCCCCCCCTCATTAGTTGATCCAGTACCAAATTCTCCAAACTAGCATCTTTGGGGTGATATATGGCAGATAGCAGCTCTAATTGTTTAGTTTAGATATATTAAATAAAGTATTTATTTTAATCTCACTACAGCTGGAGGTCAATGGGTCAGACTGCCCCCTGTTTATCCAGCACAGATTGTCATCTCAAGACAGATCAGAAAATTCTTCACAGGAAATCTTCAGGCACCTGTAAGTTATGAGTTACACTATTTGCATTGAGCCATCAAAAATTCATCCTGCCTAAGCTCCAATTATAGTAAACAATTAACTTGTGAGTGTGTGCTTTAGTGCTACATACTCTCTTGATCCTTTCAGTTTGTAAAATTTTGTAACAAAGCAATTCAATCTTATCTAGAGATTTGTAATCATTAGGTTGTGAGCTATCCACCATTCCCTGGAAATGAAGCAAACTACTTGAGAGCTCAAATTGCCAGAATATCAGCAACTACACACATCAGTCCTTTGGGTCACTACATGTATGAAGAAGATGAGGAGGAGGAGGATGAAGGAGGAGGTACAAAAAAATATTTATTTTCACTGATTTCCACTTTCCCCTTTTTTTTCCTTTATTCCTCCCCAGCTTTTCTCTCCATGTGCTTTCCATCCTCTCTGCTCACCTTTTCCACTCCATCCTTACACATTCCTTTACCCTGAATGCCTTTCATTAACTCTTTTTTTCCTTTCTTTTTTCCCCTTTCATCCTTTCTCTCCCTCTCACCTTCTTTTTCTTTCTCTTTTTTTCTTATTAACCCTATGCCTTTCTCCCTTCTTTTCCTTCTTTGCTGTTTTAAAACTGAATTTGATGATTTTTGTAATTTTCAGCTCGTGATTCTTTTGTGGTGAATCAAGAATTTGAAGGACTCTCAATTAATGATATGGCTGATCCATCATGTGCAAACTGGGTTCATCATGTACAGTACATTCTTCCACAGGTAAGCTGTGCATACCAGGTAACTCTAAATGTCTGGTTGGTAACTGCACAGCAGACCTCTGCAACAATTCGGATTATTCTGAATTTGTTTGTAATCAGGTCAAATCATTCTAAAACCTTAAAATTCAAGGGATCAAACTTTATGATTAACATCCAAGGTTTCTTCCCAAGTAAAAGCAATGTAAGTAAGTTAATAATTTGGATATATCAACAAAGTTGAAATGGTAAATTGGCCACCGTAACGATTACAAAAGCTGACGTTTCGAGCGTTAGCCCTTCGTCGGAGCGAAGTAATGTAAGTAAGTTGTTGGTTAGACCCTTAGCTTCTCCTGAAGCATTAGCCATCAATGATTTCCCTTCTCCAACTCATCCTTTGATGACCAGTCTTTTGAGTGTGGTTCAGGTGTGGCCCCATTCTTCATCCTAGCCTGAACATCTTATCACCCTGTTTTTTTTGGTCATCCTCTTTTCTGTTTACTCTGGGTATTCCATTTCTAGGTTTGCCTTGTACACTGCCAGGATATTTCCTCAAGGTGTGGCCAATCCATCTTCACTTCCTCCAGCTAATTTGTATTCAAGTGGGTGACTACCCTGATCTTTTTCCTACCTCCTCCTAACAGTTGACTATTTTGCCTTTGCAGGGTCGTTGTACATGGTTCAATCCTTCACAGAAGAGAGAAGAAGAAGAACTTGAGGAAGAAGAGGAAGATGAAGAGAGAGAAGAACCAGATGAACCTGAACCAGAGCAGGGTCCTCCCTTACTGACACCTCTCTCTGAAGATGCAGGTAAGTAAGAGAGTGCTTGATGGTTCTGTCTTTGACAGTAGTAACTGCTATTCTGCCCTGTTTAGCCCGTCATCATCTTAGTGCGTTTTAATGCATCCACTCCTGAAAAATACCAGAGTGGGCATGATCTGTCAGACTGACAACACAGTGATGTGTATTTTTAAAAGAATTATAAATGTTCGAATGACATTAGATTTTTTTAGACATTTAAGAATAAATATTAGCAAGAAAAACACACTACATTTCGATGACTCCATGTCATCATTCTCAAGTGTGAAGAGCATAAAAATGAATAGTTAATTTATACCGTATGAAGGTGACAAACGTAAAAAGTTAAAAACTTTTCTTAAAAATTTTAAATAAATAATTGCGCGTGTTGAGTTCATAAATGTAAACTATTAAGTAAATAGTTTCGTGCGTATGGAATCCAATTGTTTGTTCAAAGAGGGCTTCATCTTCTTTATGAAAAGCATTTCATGAACTAAACAGTCCGGTTTCCCGGTGCACTTTTTAAGTACGTTGAAACAAACATAAATTAACTATTCATTTTTATTCTCTTCTCACTTGAGAATGATGACATGGAGTCATCGAAATATTGTGTGTTTTTCTCGCTAATATTTATTCTTAAATTATAAATGTGTTGTCCTAATATAATATTCTTTTTGTTCTCAATTTCTATTGTTGACAGAGGTTGATGGCATGCCCCCTTGGACTGCACAGAAGTCTTCAACGTTAATTCCACAGTACTCTTTAGCAGTAATGCACTCCAACCTGTGGCCAGGAGCACATGCATTTGTTCTTGAGAGGTTTGTATTCATGGAATAACTGATTCACTCTGTGATGCAGTGAATAGTTCAAAGTAAATGAGAGGCATCTCTCCCATATTTCTAAAGCTGTCCTCCTTCCACATCCACCTTTAATGCACCTGGACCCAGTTGTTCAAAGACCGATTAGCGCTAACCCAGGGTTAAATTTTAATCCAGATTTCTTTCTTCCAATGTTGAGAAGCCTTTTTTTGGTAATTTTCTCTATTCTTTTCAGGGCATCCAATCATCAACTTCTAGACAAAAAGAATACTACTAAATTTTCTTTTGAAAGCTTTCAGATGATATCAAATTTCACACTAACCCTGGGTTATCTTAACCCTGCTTTGAACAATGCAGCCCTGTCCTACCAAGAAGATTAACCAATTCTTAACCCCCTTTAATTCCCATAAGTGATTAAGCTGTAACTTCTCCTTATAATATCCATACATTATCCGACAAACAGGTAATGAGAATACTCAAACTTATCCGGTAAAAGTTGTTGCCTTAATTGAGCACCAAATTCTCCTAACCAGTTTACCAGGAAATGTATGGCAGCTAGATGGGAGAATTTACAATCAGATCATGGGAGTTAAAGGGTTAAGAGAGACTAGCATCTAACTTTTGCTTACAACATCATCCCTGAAGTACTCATTAGGGTATATACTGCACTTTGATTTGCAATAGTGTCTTGTTGTTTCATTTTCATACAATTGAATGTGTCATGAAATAGTTTTTGATAACAAATTTTGATCTTCCTACCCATCCTAGAAAATTTGAAAACCTCTATGTTGGTTGGGGCCAGAAATTCAGTGCAGAAAACTACAGCCCACCACCTCCTCCGGCACCTCAGGAAGAATACCCCAGTGGACCAGAGATTACTGAGGCTGAAGACCCATCTGTGGAGGAGGAGAAGGCTCTGAAGGCTGCTCAACAGGAAGCAATGGAGGCTGCAGAGATGGAGGACGACGAAGATGATGATGATGATGATGATGATTAGGCACCCTTTTGGTGTTTTAATAATTTCCGTTAAATCATAAATCATGTTTTTTTAGGTCCATAACACTTTAAATCAGTTACTTGCTTATGGAATACAAATAACATAACCAATATCTTGAAATAAGGGTTATCACATAAACAAACTTGAAAAGAGTTCTTTACGTCAACATGCACTGTTTTGTTTGGTTGTTGTCATTATAAGCAAGTTAGACATCTCTTACCAAAAAAAAAAAAAACATGTACCTATTGTTGAAAAGTTTTGCTTTTCCAAACTGTTACTGCTGAAGTCTCTGTCATACATCTTAAAGCTTTCTCGGTAAAATGTGAATGGAGTCGAAACAAAGTGGCTTGAAATGTCTCAGGAACCAATTTTAATTATTCATAAACAACCTACTATGCTGTCAGTAAAATTCCATGACAAGAGTACTGAAGTGTGATCTTAAGCATTGTACATTTTATTTGTAAGATACACAACTTTAACAAACATCCATCTATGAAAAAGTCGTGGATTAAATAACTGTGTTTACCACTGCATAGCCTGCTGTTTCAGTGCTTTTTGTACTGGCCCTGGATATTAAAACACTGGATAACACTATCCAGCAGACAGCATAGTGTGTTTTGTTAGCACTTATCTGCTGGAAAGTTATTTATCTGGTAAACAACACTATCCAGCCTTTGAACAACCAAGAAATAGTTATTAAAATCAAAAAATTAGAGACAATTGCTAAAAAAAAAATCACAATTGTAGCTAGTAAACCACATACCAGAAACTCTCAAGGAAAACTATGCTAAGTAAATCAGTCTTGTCAAATAGCAAGTAGCTTGATTAAGCTGAAAGTGCTTCTATCAAACAAAGCAAGTGTATATAGGGTTAAAAAGTTAAGAAGGAAAACGGTTAGCCTTTCGCTGAAATTTTTTTTTGTGTCAAACTACAGGAAATTTTAAGATAAAAGGGCCTATTCACAGGGTAAATCTAGCATCCATCATTTAAGCTATGTACTACTCCTATCAATGGCTGTGTCTTTGTTCACATTGTATTTCCAGGAAGTTTAAATGAGATCAGCCACTGAAACAAAAAAGACGAAAAAAGAGAGAACAAACATATTAGGTGTGACAAAGGAATCGATAAAGAAGCAGACAAATCATGAGAATAAAGAAAAATAGCAATCAGGGGATTAGAAGTTGATCAGATACCAAATTATCTGGAGTAACATCATAAGAATTGTCTAGCAGACAGTAAAGAGAATTATTACTTTGCGATCTTGGGAGCAAAAGTGTTAACCTATGCAAGTCTAAGAATCAGTGGAGAAGACTAGAAAATGGGCAGGCAAAACATGGACACGGTGATACTATAGGAAACATTCTCCAGAGAAAACTGACTTTTTCGACAAAACAACTACAACAGACTATTGAGGTTGCTAGAGTGAGGGGGGTTCTTTAAAAAAAAAAAAAAAAAGGAATAGTTGTTAGTTTAAGTGACTAAAGTTTTAGTCAAAGCTGTGGACACCAATAATTCCCATGACTTCCCTAACACAGGCAATCATACTTGACTAGTGACTACTACTTCCTGGACAAAAACCTTCTACTGCAAAACAGTTACTAAGACATACCATTCATGGGCATTTCATCAATCTGAGTACTGTAGTACTGTTCAATGTCACGCAAGATTCTGATGTCATCTGACTTCACAAAGTTGATGGCGACACCTTTGCGACCGAATCGACCAGAGCGACCGATCCTGAATTCAACAAATGAAAGGGTAGAGTTGTCAAATATGTACCAAACTTTGATTGTAAGTCTGATGGAAGGTAAATTTAACCCTTTGGCTCCTAACAGTGACTAGCATCTAATTGCTCCTTACAATATCACCCATGAATCACAAACTAAGGTCAAGAGGAGAAAGAAATCATCACCAACTTAATAAGCTCCTGATTATTCAACAAATGCACAGAGAACAGTAAGGGGAAGGTAAATACTGATGTCATGTTGCAAAAGTTCCAGAAGATCTCTCTCGCTTACCTGTGAATGTACAATTCACGGTTGTTTGGCAAGTCATAGTTGATCACCAGAGACACTTGCTGTACATCAATGCCTCGAGCCCACACATCTGTTGAGATCAGCACTCGACTGCATGAAATAAAAAAGGAACAATGCAAGAGTCAACCCTCTCAAAAAGAAAAACTTTTACATTAGAAAAAGCACTTCAGTCTCTATCTAACCTCTGTCCAGATCTGAATTCTTTCATGATGGCCTCTCTTTCTTTCTGTGGCATGTCACCATGCATGGCTGAAACAGTGAAGTTTGCCTCTCGCATCTTCTCCACAAGCCAGTCCACCTGGTAAGGAACAAAAATTACTTCAACATGATTTTCATAAAACAATTTGATTTGCAAATCAGACAGAGAAATTGGGGCTTAACTCTGTAAACTAACCTTTCTCTTAGTGTTGCAGAAAATAACAGCTTGTGTGATGGTAAGAGTGTCGTATAAATCACAGAGGGTGTCAAACTTCCATTCTTCACGTTCCACTGCCACAAAGAACTGTTTGATGCCTTCCAATGTCAACTCATCGCTAAGACAAAAAAATAGGATTTCACTGTGAGAAAGTCCCCTTTGAAATGTTTGCAAGCTTTTGAAGCAAAAACAACTATTTTTCTACAGTTCCTAGCCACACAAAAATGTAACTCACCGCTTGACAAGAATCCTAATTGGGTCAGTCATGAACTTTTGGGTCATCTCTAGGATTTCATGTGGAAGGGTTGCACTTAGAAGTACAACCTAAAACAAATTTGAAAACAGTAAGACATCCACATGTCACATGAATTTTACTATTAACAGTACATGAGGGAGGCATATACAGCAACCCAGGAAACATTGTTAACTTCAATCTTAGTAATAATAATAATAATAATAATGATAATAATATATCGATTTCTATAGCGTATTTCCATGGAATGCTCTAATGCACTTTACAACACTGTGCGGGGGACTTTTCCAGACTGCCGGCAGCAGTTTACAATAAATAAAGAAGAAATTTTACAGATGCCCCCTCCCCCCATCTGGGCCATCTGACCCAGAGTCCAGCGCACTGACCACTGGACTACTTGCGCCTCTGATAACTAGACCTGGGTAAAGTGGCACTGAGTTCCATAAATTTAAAACCTAAATAAAGCTTCCTTCCAGTAAGAATAAAATAAGTGAACAGCTTGGCAAGAGGCAAGTTCACAACTAACCTGAGTGGCTGGGGGAAGATATCTGTAAACATCATAGATCTGTTCCTTAAAACCTAAAGGGGACACACACAAAATATTATTAATAAGACAAAAAAGTCACATTGGTTGAATGCATCATGCAACAGATTAAGGACAGTAACTGAACAATCATGACTCAGTTCTTTACCCTTATTCAACATTTCATCTGCTTCATCCAACACCAACATTTTAATGGATCGAGTTCTTAAGCTTCTTCTTCTTATCATGTCTGGTAAACACAGCAAAGGAGCAAATTAAAACCAAAATTGCAATATAAATCTTGGTACCAGAGTGAAATTAAGCCAACACTTGAAACAAAGTTCAAAATCCCTATGGCAGACTCTGGCTTTTTTTTTTCCTCTACACACTACAAATTATTCATTACTTTCTTTAGTATATATGGGAGTCAATGGGAACAATTGAAATAGCATACATGAAAAAATGTTTAATATAGCAAGCTGGAAAAGTGAAAGTGTAATGTCACTACCACCGACAACAGTCCTTCTCAGGACTACACTCACCCAGACGATCATACTACACTTTCACATGTTATCCCCAGGTTCAAACCATTTACTGCATAGCAAGCTGGATTGTGCAAGAATTTTGATTGGTTCATACTTATGATCCATCAAGGGCAGATGCATAAATGACATCAACATCAACAACTTTGTTTCTTTTTTATTCTATGAAACAAATATATTCCATGCTGCCAAGGGTATGTTCACAAACAGAACACAGATGATGTCAAAATGAATCAAGAACATCAGTGACACACTCAGCTGCCCTTTGTATGCCCCCTTTTTTGTTCTCGCTGCATTTTGATGTCATCTGTGATCCATAACCAAACAGAAAGAGGACAACAAGATATCTTATTGGGTGAGGTATAATTATTGTAAACCATAGCATTAATAAATGAACAGCAATTTCAGACCTAACTAGAATCATGTCACTTACCAAAGACTCTGCCTGGTGTACCAGACACAACATGCTGTCCATAATCAAGTTTTCTGATGTCCTCTCCTACATTTGTTCCTCCAATACAAGCATGACACTGAATGCTCATGTAGTCACCAAGAGCAAGAATGACCTGTTGGAAGCCACAATTGGTATCACAAAAATCTTACAGGGGAGTTTATGACAGTTGAAAGCCCTTGAACTTCACAAGTTTCTCTCCTCGCTTATTTCAGTTATTTAATTACCAAGGGTAGAATGAAGATAAGGCACATGGTAATTCTTAAACTTGGCAAGTTCCATCATTTACTTTAAATCTACACAAACTTACTTCACAACATAAAAAACTCTGCATTTACACATATTTCGAAGAACACATTTGGAATGCTCATAAAACTTTAAGAGTCATTCAATGACTAAGAGGGGCACCAGGATATATCAGATAAAGTAAAACTAAACAAAAATTAAACTACCTTCTGAATTTGTTGTGCAAGTTCTCGAGTTGGAGACAAAATCACAGCCTGTGTTTCTCTTGTCTGTAGAAAAGAAAAGCAAGAATTCAGAAAAATTAAATTTTTAGAACTCCCAAATTCATGGGAACAGCACATTCATTTACAATACACAATGACCAACTTCAATCTACCTATTTCTTTCCTGAGATTTAATTCAAGGTTTTCTTACTATAAACAGGTTTGTCACTCTAAAGATTATTCTGTAGACATTGCAATTTGAGAGAATTATAACATTTTGATTCAATTCTACAATCTAAGCCTTTCTTTTTATAAGTTAAAGAGTCAGATTTTAATTTCTTTCTTCTTGTTTCAGACCAGGGTCACTACACCACAGTGAGCAAAACTGTTTGCCAAATCCTTTGTTGGAAGGAACTCGAAAATGAAAAAGTTGTGTTCCTGGGCATAATTCATGTTCTAAAAAGATCTGTCTTGGGTAATATCGATTGACATTTCAACAACATATATAGAAGTCACAATCAGAGTCAAGCAAACAGTTGTTGACTAGTTAATCACCACAACAAATTATAAATAACCTCTAACTCCCACCAAGTCTACCGAAATGACAGTCTATCCCTAACAACCATTCATTTGCTAGCTGTTCTCATCCACATGATCACACTACATTTGTTCTACTCTAGCAGTTCTCCCTGCTTTAAATACTTTACTAATGGAGCTTTTCTAATCTATTCTTGAACCTTGAATGTGATTTACAAACCTGAATATCTATTGACTGAAGTACAGAGATGGACAGAGTGGCCGTTTTTCCTGTTCCAGACTGGGCCCTAGAGGAGAGGAGAGAAAAACATCAGTTAGTAACAAGGTTCCTGGTTTGAGGTATGAAGTCGCAAGTACATGAAAGAAATTATATCAACATTCTAGGCATTAACATAATTCACAAGAATGTTTTCATTCTGTTGAACTTTCAATGGGATTTGACTTTTTTGCAGTATATTAACAGTGCTGAGTTGCTCCGCTTTATCTTCCAGATACTTGAAGACATCATGTGTAACCACAAGAGTGACTTTCCAAAGAAGCCTCGAAGGGTCTGGTACACCAACTCCAATACAAAATTATCTTCCAGTTCAAGTAGAAACACCACAGATAGTAAATACTGGCTTCAAACTTCGATAGCTTCGACGAAATAAGGCATTCTGTACGTTAACCGATTTGAACCGTCGGAAACATGAAGGGAAAAGTATGGAAAGTATATTTGTCAAAAGCCACTCAAATCCTCACGTTAAAACGTAAAAACTTACTGTGCAATGACGTCTCTTCCTTTGATAATCGGTTTAATAGCACGCTGTTGAATTGCCGATGGTTTCTCAAAACCTAAAAATGATTAAAAAAAGCTCAGATACGAACGAAAAAACCTTGCTAACACATGTGATAGTTATGGCGTCATGCACTATTCGAACTTACCATAAGCGTAAATGCCTCGAACCAAGTCTTCCCGAAGTTTTAGCTGGTCGAAAGTGGGAACGACGTCAACCTCCTCTGAAGTTGAGAATTCGATCTTGGTTAGATCTTCCTCGTCGTCGGCTACAACCTTTCTTTTGCGAGACATTTTATGACTTTACAACTTCACGTTTTCTTTGAGCGTGCAGGATAAGCTGAGAGACCGCGCCTGGTTACAAAAAATCAAGAGTTACTAAGCATGATGGGATATGAGTCCTCTGATCTGAACGGACCGTGAGAAGAGAGTAGTGTGGGGGAAGTCACTGATTTTTATGCTTGGAAGAAAAAAAAGGAAAGATTATGGCAAATTGGGGATTATATGATTGATAGAGGAACTGGGTGGGCTCAAAAATCAGTCTGTTTCACATTCCAAGGTTCTCCCCTATTTGCATCAGCGCTTATGAGTCCCTTATCCAGGCATGAGATTTTAATTGTATAAAATTTCATGTTAGAGCTTAGCTTTTTACAGGTATATTTTGTTCTCTTGACTTAATGATTTTGAGCTGAATTTTCAGTTTTTTTGTTGTTGTTGTTTTTTGTTTTGTTTTGTTTTGTTTTTTTTTTTTCGTAAACAATGCAAGGGTTTTTTGCTTTTATATCATTCAAAGTTTTATTGTTAAATCCCTAATACAGTATTTCTTCGAATAAAGGCCTGGGTACTGATTCAAAATTTCAGCTTTAATGGAGGGGGTGCCCATTGGAAGGAGGAAACTTGATTATGATGAGTGCTTATTAAGTTAGCACAGCAATAGGACAAAAAATCAGATGGAAACTAATAACACACAAAGTACACGGAGATAAATAACTGAAACAGAAAAGAAACCGTTCTCCTCTACTGATTCCACCGTAATTGTAGAGTTTACGGCGACCAAAATCTAAATTCTCAAGTTCAAAGACGTGTCGCTCCAAAACGCGGTTAACGAGGTGTTTGGGACTATTTTACTGATCGAAATGACAACCCAAAGTTGTCTGTTTGCACGAATCTTTATTCTTGAAAGGCAATCGACCACGAACCACAATCAATGACGAAAATAACGATTATTCTGACGGTCAATTAATCTATCGAACGATCGATCGTAAACTGAAACAACAATACAACGAAGTTCTATCAATCTAACGAAAAGCCGCGGAATACATGATCAAAGAATCGCATGTTAAATACTGGGCTTTAAAGTTTATTACGAGATTAACAATACAAGTGAAACAGAACAAAAGTTTGGAAACAAATTAAAAGAGTTTTGATGACTGATAAACAGCCCATTGTTCTATCTAAATGATGGGCGTTCACTGACTCGCAAATTGGCACGAATTTGGCCTTTAAATCTTAAATCTATACAGATCATTGCAATATTTGTTTGTATATTGTCGCCCAACACTGAAAAGACTGGAAAGGAAAAAACAAAGTTACAAAGGTACTCACATATCGGTCCCGCTTGTGCCAGAGGTTGAGAAAACGAAAGGGCGAAAGTTTACCAAGGCTATTCAAAACTTACGAAGAACAGATTAAAGGGACGCTAAATTTGCCTTTTGCATGCGCGTAGTGACGCTGAAAGGTCCGATTACAAAACCAATAGAAATACAGAAAAACAGATAAGCATTGTAACTATGTGGCTATCTAAGATCATTCTGAAATTAGTGAACTAATCAATAATCAATCAAAAAATGAGCCTTCTGGCTAATGTCCTTAACAGTAATTGAAGCTCAAAAAGAGGTGGTAGAAACAGGTTTTACTTGAATCCCCAATATTTAAGAAAGTGTGGGAAGGAGGGGGTAGTTAATCAAAACAGGGGCTTGTTTAAGATTATGTTTACGGGTTGGACGCTTCTGAGAGTGAGTACTTCTTCAAGGAAAAATGGTAACTGAAAGTAACCTTTTTCACAAAGTATAATTTAAAGAGTTTTTAAAAGTTTTTTAATCAATCACATCACGAGTGGTCAGAAGGATTGGGTCCTTTACAACGTAACATCAGTGTGCATATTCTCCATACTGTTCTTTGGACATTTCCCAAGGTGCTGACAAGATAGATAGATGGATAAATGGATAGTTTATTCACCTTAAATAACTTATAGCCAAGAGCTGAATTGCGATAAGGTTTACAAATGCAAAATTTCTAAGTTACTAAATTACAACTAATTAGTTAATTTACTAATTAAAAAGTGTTACAAAATGACTAATTCACAAACGTGGGTCAAATTCCTATGTAAAATAAGAAACAAAATAATATCTAATTATCACCTACAATAAACGTAACTTAAAAGACAAGGAGAATTTGTCTAGCAATCAAGAGCTTCTTTGGATGGTGATCATTTCCTTTATTCTTGTGACCTTAAAGTTTGATTCAGGGATGATAATGTACGGAAAGCTTTGATGATGGTCACTTTTAGGGTTAAAGGATTTTAAAAAGAAATTTTTATTTAAAACTTAAGTGTAATGGATTTTTGCAAGTCTTGCAATGCAACACCTAGACTTTCTCTTCCATGATGATACATTCTTAATACAAAAAAAGAAACAAAAACTGTCCTTCCATGCCTGTGAAAACAATGTCATTATTTTTATTTTGGATATATCAACAAAGTTGAAATGGTAAATTGGCCACCGTAATGATTACAAAAGCTGACGTTTTGAGCGTTAGCCCTTCGTCGGAGCGAATCATTATTTTTATCATTGTTAGTATTATTTTTTTTAACATGTGGCAGACTTGGTAACCCCATAAAAGAGCCCTTTGAGGGCAATATTTCCCATTAACCAACAGCAATTTCAAAATCAGTTGTATTCACTTTGTATTGTAGAAATGAAAATAAATGCCATCCTTGAAATGATGAGTCATGGAAATTTTTAAGGATAAATCTTGTTAACTCCAAACATTTTACACAATTTTTGGCTAGTTTTTCCTGTTGTTTATTCAGCATCATCATTTTCATTCAATACCTAATCAATAATTTAAAAAAAAAAAATTCCTCACAGCTGCCTTTAGGTACTCTTTTCAACCTGGTGATGCCACCTGCTTTCCCTTCAGAAAAATGAAAAATACTTAGAAGTTCCCTGCTGTGTGTTGAAGGGAACGAGGTCATAGTTGACAAAAAGATGCCTGCAGGTGGCACCCTTATTATGGCAAACATAAACAATTTATCCTTTCAGGGCTCACTTCTCATTTCTAAACAAAGATGTGCTACCATTAAATTACTATGTTGGCAAGAATGCATAAGGGAAGGTTTAGATCAACATCATCAGAGTATCCAATACAAAGACTCCCAGATCATTTCAAACACAATTATGAAGAGAATTATACATGCAACTATAGTTCACCTGAATGATCAGCCTTTGTTGCAGGATGCAACAGGAAAAATTGTCACATGAAGTATATTTGAATTGCTGAATCATTCTTACACAGCTGTGGATAATACAATATTTCTCACAACCTTCTTAAATGAATGGTACACAAAGACACCTATTCTTTGTTCTATTTGATCCATCTGCAAACAAATTTGATGAAAAATTCCAACATAAAGCAGGAGTCAAAGTGGTAAAATTTACATAAGCTTTGCAAGCAAACACAGGTTATAAAAGGGGCAAATATGGAACCACATTTACTCTTAAATTATGTTTACCACAGTGCTCCACATGGAATCTTGAATCAAAACATTCTTTTGTGCTTTTCAAGTTTACATTTCACAAGTTTTGTTCAACAGTTTAGCTTCAGGGTTTCAAATACAACAATGTTTGACAACACTGTTGAATTCTACCTCATTTTCTAAGAGCACCTTTTGTAAATGGCCAGTTCAGTTTACCTAAAGAATATCTATTGTTGACAACACAAAAAAAAATACATTCCCTAATACATGCGCATCATTGCTGCAGCTATCCAAACATACATCATAGTTTAACTGTTTGAGGAGAAAAAAAAAAACCAATTTGTACCTGTAAAAAAAATCTGCATAATAACACACATTTATTTACATATTTGATTGTGGTTGTCAAGAGTGGAAGCAGGTGACCAAACCAAAAATTATAGAAGACTCAGCTGAAAAACATATTTCTGAGACAATCTCTAAATTTTTCAAACTCAAAGTAAAAGACAAGTTTTATTGATATCTTTTTTTTTCAAATTTATTAAGGTATTTGAATGACAATATATTAACTTTGAGATTAAAGATGTCTTACTTAGCTTAACATCTCCATATATGGAAACAGAAACGCACTATGTTCGTTTGACATGACTTTGCATGGTTCGAAACCAAAGCATCTTTCACGCGTTAAAGCGAAAATTTTAATATTTTTGAGCCCAAAATGCTGCTTTCTCTGATTGTACAAGCAAGCTATCGTTTCATAAATAAAACATTGCTCCAAATCATTGGGCAATGATCAAACCTTTGTATTTTGATTTCTATTAAATATGAAATTGCCGAGTCAAAGGAAACATTCTATAAACTAAATAAATCTGTCCAAAGCAAGCGTAAATAATTTTTTTAAAAGTTTTTACCATTTTGCAAGCGGTCAAAGGCTATTACCAAGAGCACAGATAATGTATTTCGACTATAACAAAGGAACAGTTTTGTGATGAGTCATTGAACAGGTTGAAACAAGAAGTTTCAACTTTTTTTCCGGTGGGTTTCGATTCCTACATGTTAACTTTACAATGAGGAAATTTTTCTTTAAAAGCTTTTACGCTTTCTTGTGAAACGCTGAAACAATCCGTAATATCAAGTGTTTCCAAACACGGTAGAGAATTACCTATTTCCAACAGCTGTTCGTCTTTGCCCACAATATCCGTGAAAGAAATATCTAAATTCCACAAGCAGTCTAGATAACAAAAGCATGATTTCAGACCTTCGTAAGTGAGTTTACTACAACCGTTTATGGACAAAAACGAAAGCTCCACGTTGAAGCAAATTGTTTTTAGTCCTTCGTCCGTTATATCAGCGAACCCAAGGCCAAGAGATCGAAACTCATCGCTGGCATAATTTGCGATCACGCAAGCAGTGTTGTCGGTAATACCTGTTTCAATACTATCCGAATTATGGACAATGAGCCTTGCCAGTTTTTCGCATCTGTTCATTAGTGCATACACTCCAACGTCAGTAATTTCGCTAAATTCCAGCGACAAATCTTCGAGAAACGGAAGTTGATCAGCAATCACGATCAACGACACATCGGTGATGACGCCATTGGAAATGTTCAAGCATTTTAAATTTCGGCATAAGTGAGCTATTGTACAAACTCCAAAGTCAGTTATTCCTCCGTCTCTGTCACAATAATCGATCACGAAAGACTCCAGTTTGCGGCATTTTTTCGCTAAAGCCGCCAAACTTCTGTCGCTGACCAGAACTTGGTTGTATCTGAGGGTCAACTTTCTCAATTTTCGGCATCCATTCGCCAAAAGCCGCACCATTTCATCGGTCAAAACATCAGCATAACTTTTCTGATCGTCTTCCAAGGAAGCTTCGTAAATAATCATTTTTTCAAGTTCAGGACATACTGACGAGATTACCTTTATTGTATTTTCTGTAACAGCGATGGAGTAAGCGTACAGCTTCCGTAGACTTGAGTTATTTTTAACCAAAGCAGAGAGAGCCTTTTCAGAAACATTCTTCAAAGGTATCGAAACCGTTTCCAGAGCATCACAATTGCGCGCCAAAGCAAAAATGCCATAATCTGTGATGAAATTACATCCATTTAGATAGAATTTTCTCAGGTTTGGACAGTTTTCGGAAATATGCTTCAAAGACTCATCTTTTACACCTGTGCAGTTCGTTAGATTAATGCTTGAAATAAGATTAGTCCTTCGAGCGACAACCCTTGCGACCGTATCAGCTGCCACTTCCGAAGCATGTTTCGGCCGAATACGGACAATTTTCCACAAGCTGGGGTCGTAGCAAAGCCTGTGCCATCGCGAACAAACCCTTGAGCATCGTACCAGACGAGGATAGTCGAGATAAGAGAGAATATGAATAATTACAGCGTCCGGCAAAGATGTTACCGTAGCCATGTCCTGACGTTCTTTGTTTTAAAAATTTGCCTTTTCAGTTTTTTATTTCATTGATTTTCCCGCGCATTGTTCTCAGCCTCTTTTGCAAGTAGCCTCGATACCGCTCTCCCATACCAGTCTCCTCCGCATTTTCCACATGGACAAGTCATTGGGGTAAAAGCGATTTTGTCTTCACGACTAGAAACTGTGACCTTTCGATTTTATTCTCCGATATACCAGTGGCGCTTTAAATTGTAAGTCATCTCCCTTTTTGTTACATTTTAAAAGACAATTCTATGTTTTAACATGATGAAATGCATCTATCTTTACCATCTTTCGGGACAGAATTTGATGTTGAGATGCAGTTCTCTGACTTGAAATTTTTTGCAATCTTCTAATCGACAAAGCTTTCTTTCATGAAAGCTTCTCGTTCACGTCGTATTTACTCTCTTATACAGGTATTATGGTTTCTTCTTTGTATTAAACGAACTGAGGTAAGTGTAAGGTAATTACAGCGGCAAATATTTTTTACAATTTTCCGGTGAAAATGGCGAACAGGATCAAGGCACAAACCATCGTGCTATGCGGGCGTGCCAAGTTGGTTCAGAACTAGTTTCAAAGTATTCTCCGACCATTCAAATTCATACGTATTGTGTTTTTTGTGTAACCTATTATGCAATACATCCTTAAGCTGCACACAAATTGAAGAGAGCGGCTTAACAAATGCATGTCTGTAAACATCTGGTTTTATACCAGAATTATTTAAAAGCCTTTTCTTAATTACCCTCGTTCACTTGCTGTTTAAATTCTGTGACAGTTCTCAAGCATGATGAATTGCATTAACTTAACCATCTTTCGGGACAGAATAATTTTGTTGAGGTGCATTTTCTGACTTGAGAATTACTGAAGGGTGTTGATATCTCCATGCACAATTCATAGCAGTTATGTAACCCTTGCAATTAATACTATTCCTCTAGTTTGAAGTATTTCTTGAAGACAACAGAGATTATCAGATTCCCTCCTTTGTAAGTATGAACTGTGGCACTAGTAATTTACTAATAGCAAGGTTACTGTTCAACTCAACAATTTTGTACTCAGCAACATGTTTTCAACAAAAGTGATAATGATATGGTACATGTTTGGGTCATTTTCATTTTCAAATATTCTTGACAACAAGAATAAGAAAGATGGTTAGTTTTGAGCTTGGTAAAGAAATAGAGAAAGATGTTTTTTCATCTTTTCAAAGAAGAAATAAAAGAAAAAATTCTGGGTCCTCATGAGGAATCAAACCTCAGATCTTTGCATTCCATGGAATGATGCTCTACCTTTGAACCACAGAGACTATAGTGATCAAGGCCTATTACCAAGTTTGTAGTTGATGCATGATCTGCATACTGCTGGAATCTGTAAGGTTGATAGCGTCATAAACTTCGGATTGGACCTTGCTCACCACAGAGTCTCTGTGTTATGTCCATGGTAGAGCATTGGAGTGTGTAACCCCAAGAGTCTGGATCAAGGAAAATGAAAAACAGGTCTTTTTCCAGGAGAAAGGCCTGCTCCTAAGGATATTGGATCATAAACATGGGATCTCCAATGACCTAATTAAGCTTTTTCAAAGAATGAATAAATTATGCTAGTAAAGCATTTGCTAGACATTTTTAGCCCCCAAAGACCTAAAACAAGCTCTGGATAAGTCTATGAACATAAAGGTTGCATTCATACCAATCAAGAGCAATGATAAGAAGATGTCCACTAACTATGATTTATGGTTTTGCTCCAGTGCCCCTTTAAAATGTCGGACATGGATGATGATTTCATGTGTGATGACGATGAAGATTATGACTTGGAGTACTCTGAAGACAGTGCCTCAGAGCCCGATGTGGATTTGGAAAACCAGTACTAGAATTCTAAAGCCTTGAAAGAAGATGATCCTAATGCCTCACTGCAGAGCTTTCAGAAGGTTTTGGATCTTGAAACAGAAAAAGGTGAATGGGGATTCAAAGCACTGAAACAAATGATCAAGATCAACTTCAAACTGGGTCACTATGATGAGATGATGACACGCTATCAGCAGTTGCTCACATATATAAAGAGTGCTGTCACAAGAAACCACTCTGAAAAGTCTATCAACTCTATTCTTGATTACATTTCCACTTCGAAGCAAATGGAGTTGCTACAGAATTTTTATGAGACCACACTGGAAGCCTTGAAAGATGCAAAGAATGATAGACTGTGGTTCAAGACAAACACAAAGCTGGGAAAGTTGTACTTTGACAGAGGAGAATTCACCAAGCTGGCAAAAATCTTGAAACAACTGCATCAGTCATGTCAGACAGATGAAGGGGAAGATGATCTAAAGAAGGGAACTCAGTTGCTAGAGATTTATGCCCTAGAGATCCAGATGTACACAGCTCAGAAAAATAACAAAAAGCTTAAAGCTTTGTATGAACAGTCCCTTCACATCAAGTCAGCCATTCCACATCCTCTTATTATGGGGGTGATCAGAGAGTGTGGTGGTAAGATGCACTTACGCGAGGGAGACTATGGAGCAGCTCACACTGATTTCTTTGAGGCTTTTAAGAACTATGATGAGTCTGGAAGTGGAAGACGCACAACTTGCCTGAAATATCTTGTCTTGGCTAACATGCTCATGAAATCTGGGATCAATCCTTTGGACTCACAGGAAGCAAAACCTTACAAAAATGACCCAGAGATTCTAGCCATGACAAATCTTGTCAGTGCTTATCAGAACGATGATATCAATGAGTTTGAGAAAATTCTCAAAACCAACCGTAAGAACATTATGGATGACCCCTTTATAAGGGAGCATATTGAAGATCTCTTAAGAAACATCAGGACTCAAGTGCTTATCAAGCTGATCAAGCCATACACAAGGATCCACATCCCATTTATATCCAAAGAGTTGAACATTGATACAGAAGAAGTGGAAAGCCTTCTGGTGCAGTGCATACTGGACAATACCATTCATGGCCGCATTGACCAGGTAAATCAACTTCTTGAATTGAACAGAACCACACAGAGTGTGGATAGGTTCCAAGGACTGGATAGGTGGACAACACAGTTAAATTCGCTCCACACCACAGTTGTCAACAAGATCGCCTAAGCAGTAATTTACATAATCAACAGGTAAACAGATAAGTAACTTTTTAGCAGGTCCTGTAGATCTTGCTGTTAACCTGAATAACAGGGTTTCTTGGACATGCATGTCTGTTGATGCATGTAGGTTTGTGTAATGATCTCAAATAAGACGGCTCCATTTTTCTTTTCTTTTTTTTTCCAGTGTACTGTATTACTTTTGTCTTAAAATCAGTGTAAGATTGGAAGAAAGAAAGTGAGTGAGGATTGCTGTGATTTACGAAGCCAACACCACTGCAATAGTTAAGACAAAAATGTAGTGATTGTTAAGCACTGGTGTACGGCTGTACAGGTAGTTTTTTTGAGAGAACTTGCAGAAACATTTCAAACAATTGGAACAGGCTTGTGGAACAGGCTAGGAAACAGTCAGTAATTGTGAATTCACTTTTTGTGTGTAATTTTTCTCAGAGGTGAAGTTACTCAAGCCTTTTAAAAGTTTTTTGTATTTTTGTTAGAGGTACTTTGTCTAACAAAATAATCAATACAGGAATACAGTAAATGTTGGTTTTTGATGATTTGAGTGGAAATGTTATGTTTGCAGAATATTGTTGATAAAAGAAACCTTTGACTGTTCTGATATTTTTATCCTACTATCTTCACCTCACTTTGCCATAAGTGCTGATGAAAAATCATACTGTTAATCCACTGGTCAATTCAAAGCTTTACTCGCCAACTGCCTTCCCCTTCCCCCCCTTCCTTCTTGGGCTACCCTCAGGCTTTTGACTGTTTACTGTCCCCAGGGGTGGGAAATTTAAATGGGAACTGCCAAGTTTTTCAAGCAGAGTACACATTTTATCTTTTGAAATGGAGGTGTTTTGAGGTAAAGAGTTCACTTTGCAAGCAGATGATTTGAAAGAAAAAAGTTGTAGTTGAAAGTCACAGTCACTGATCTTTACTTTTACAAAAAAAATGACTATCAAATCCAGTGCTTGGGTAGGGCATTTGAACACAATTTTGGCACAAGGAAATATGAATTTGAATGGAACAATCTTCAAAAGTTCAAATGCCTGGGGGGGGGGGCTGGGGGAGAATCTCACTTTAAATTACTGCTTTAATTTTGGAGGGAAGCATGGGTGAAGAATTTTTTTGTAAAATTGTTCTCTGTTTTATTTGAATGGTCTCACTCTCAGTGTCTATTCAATACGGGTGTTGGGAGTGGGTGAAGAGTAACCATCACCGCTTAATAGAGGTGAAAATTATGGATATTTGGGGAAACAAATTCGGGACTGATTAAGGACCGCAAAAAAAAAAATTTGAATGCGTAATACGGTGTCATTTTAATACAGGTTCGACTATCATTTTTTTTCTCTTAACCCTCTGATCTCTAAGAGTGAGTTTCTCTTTACAGTATCACGTCACGGGTTAAAAAGCGTATATTTTTTTAAGGGGGGGAGGGTAAGCCTTACTACAGAATTGTATCAACAGGATACCCTTACTTGAACAAACTTTCTGTAAAAGAAAAATCGAGTTTTCCTTTATTCTACTTTTGTTTCAACTTAAAGATTTCAATTTCCTTTCGCTTTTTGGTTGCTCCATTGAAATTTTGCGTGGGAAATTGGTGCTCGGCCGGCCAGATTTAATCCCCTCACGCATGCCTGACGTTCAACCGGATGTATGTACCGTGGAAGTAGTGGTTTTGTCCAGCGAACCAATTTCCGATCCTCACTAGAAGCTTCTTTTTGTCAAGAGATGTTAACAATTATGCTCGCATTAATGAGGACATTGAAACACAAGAGGACGTTATTGTTTCATAATAGCTCTTATTCCAGATCCGTGTGCGCAGTTTAATTGGAGAGCGGTTTCTTATATTAGCGTAGGCGAAAGTGAGGCTCTCGGGTCAAGCACGTTTGAAGATTACTAGAGGAAGTATATAATAAGTTAAGACGTTGTGAAAGTTTAGGTAAAACATGATGATTAGATATTGTATAGCCTTTGGTTGTACGAGCTGAAGTTTCCGCTATCAAAAAAAGATCATCTCCAGAAGTGACTGGTAAAAATCCGAAGAGAGAACACTCCTCTAAACAAAAAATCATATTTATGCAGCAAGCATTTTTAGCCTAAATACTTTGTCAAGTCTCGAGGAGGACAGCGAATGCGGATAAAACCATAAGCTATCAGGCAGACATTTACAACGAAAGTGGGTTCTATCAGTGTCAGACGCTAGAGTTGCAATGAAATTATAATGGTATTTGAATAAGCCTTATCTTCCATCGTCCACACAATTTTGGTTTCAGATAATTTTTAATGCCCTTTTTTCGTATTTACATTAGAAATTTTCCCGTCATACACTTTCGCAAATTAAATGGATATATACAGACTTCATATATATGCTATATTCCATGATATTTTTTATTTTTCAGTTTTAATTATTTGTAAATTTTCTAACCATCTAAAACCCCAGTTGGTTAGTAAGGCTCTTCAAAACCAGTTAGCTAGCTTTCTCTGACGTCAGTTTAATTTCCCTTCAGGCTAAATGATTTCTTCATGGAGGTGGCTTTAGTCAAGGTGCCCCTGTGCACGGACTTACTCTTCGCCTATTCATCTAAGGTTACTTAATCGTAATCAACGTTCAAAATTTGACGTTTGCTACTTTCCCGCAGGAATTTCGTGGTTTTCTCCACGATGCCTAACCCGATTTTTAAGGTGGCAGTGTTCATAAACTTGTCCTCATTCAAAACCAGTATCACTTGTTTGTGGGCTGCGATATCGATATTGCCTGATCGTTTTCTTCACAGCATGTCTGACTTCTCTGATGCGCCAGCAATAAAGTACAGGGTTCAGTGACGAATTAAAGAAGATTAAAGTGCCTGTTAATCCCTCGGCGACAGGCCAGACATCACCAGTAACAGCCTTCAACCCTGACACTACGCTGTACGGCAGATAACAGGTCAGTAGTGTTAAATGAACCCAAAGCGCGCTCGATACGGTTTTCTTGTACCGAGCCATGTTCATTGGAGGGTTTTTATTTTGTAGTCCTTGGGTTAAAACGTTCTGGATTTTTGCCTGCTGCGCACAGAGTGTGTGGCAAATTTTCGCGTAGCAAAATGTAGAAATAACAACGCAAAGAAGTATACCAGTGAGACAAACGAGATAGAAGAGATATCTCTTCTTCAAGAATCGCGCTAAGCCATTTGTGATATTTACCGCCCAGAAAAATATCACAAATCCACGGACCCGCGGGGCAGTCACAGTTTGTCGGTATCGCATTCCGAGCGACAAGGCGAGTAATCTGTCCACGCTGATGAAGGTTAGAATAAAGAGAGACACTCCGCTTAGGACGGCACTTGTAATGTACGTTGATACCACGGTGAACTGGTAGACGTGCAAACGGCCAGAGAAAATGGAGATCGAATGCAACGCCGCCACTGGCTGAGCGACGAGACCGACGCACAAATCTGTGATCGCCAAATTGAGTATTAATAGTCGCGAAGGCGGATGAAAGCAGGATTCTCGTCGTAGTGCAATGAATATCAACGTATTTCCAAAAGTCGCAGAGATGGAGAGGATGATGTTCAAAACAGACAGAGCGAGAAAAGTGTTGAAGACATGCGGAGAACTTTCGACTTGAAAGAACAAGGCCGGTCGAGTTGCTACACTGTTGTTGTTCGCCATAATCGAAAAGGAATTGCCACTAGCTTAATTTGTGGGTCTTTTTCCGCTTATATGAAAAATTAAAGGAAATAAGATCTCGAAAGTAGGTGGGACGGTTTATTTTAAGAGCAAAAGTTGACAGAGATTTGTCAAAATGACTTTGAAACATGACATTTCGTTAATCTTAACGATATCTTTTATCTCACTTCTTAAAGAAATTATATTGATTACCTTCGTTTATAATGAAAAACAAAGCATAAATCCCTTGCCATTTAATTGGAATGTGTCACTCTGTAAATCTTCGAATCACTCAGTTTTTCTTTTTTAATTCTTTTTTTTAGGTTTGGCAGAAAGCAACGTTTGTTGTTATTTCCAAAAGTTGACACAATCGCTTGAGTTTTGCGTCTTCTACCGTAAACAAAGAGCAAATTACGATAATTTTTTAGTGCTTTTGCTATTAGACGTTGTTAAAGGAGTAATTTTTGAAAAATCCCTTTGCCAGTTGTTGCAACATGACTTCAGATTTTGTCTGAATGCGCCTTTGTCAATAACGGAAAACGTCCTTATTGTTGGCAAAACGCTAGCTTCTTAGTTCCATTTTCGTAGTTATCTTAAAAGCTCTTTCTTAATTTTTATCACAACTCAAAACAGGAAGACATTTGTTCTTGCAGGACACACAATCGTTTTAAGATGAACACGCTTAACGTCCCAGCAACTCGCGAGTGCCTTATCACTCAGTGGTAGAATGGCAAAGAGCCCAGATGAGGAAAACATTAGTTTGACTCATGTTGGCAACAAGAGAAATTTCTTTTTCTTTCCAGTCTGCCTGTGTCATTGACTTCCGGACAAGCTTCGCATTTCACTTTCAGAGGCATGCATTTATTCACGGAATGATTACATATAGGTAGAAGATAGAAAGAGTGTTTTGACCAAAAAGTAAACAACTTACCCCAAAGTTATTTCACAAGTGTGGGAGTGTCCTAATATCATTTATGTTTTTCTTTCTGCCTGTCAATGATTGAACTGGGGTATGACGTCTGTGGTATGGTGCAACAGAGCTTGGTCTTATAAGTTCTGTCTGTCACCATCTTTTGTCTAAAATGAGGCGAGCTCCCACCTCAGTGTTTTTCATTCTTATTCAAATTTCCATAGAGATTAAACGCGGAGTGGGTGAAAAAAAAAAAGAATCTTAATTTGAAAAGTAGGGGCAGTTCCTGCATCTAAATTGTTCTCGATCTGATGACTCGCTCATGTTCCACTGGAGGCGAAACATTGCAATATTTTCACAAGTAAAAACGCTGAAGCATTCTCCATTATTTGCAATTCAAAAAGATAATCAGATTATACGAAAAGATCAGACTTTTACTGAAAGTAAACGTATTTGAAATTACATACCGCATAAAAACAGAAGAAGAAAGCAAACAGTAATTAACCGATGACGACTAAGTAAATTTGCGTGTGTCTGGCCCTATAATACAACTTTGAGCAAATAAAGGGTCTGAATTCTAATTTGGATCTTCTTTACCCCATCATAAAAGCTATTTACTTATGTACGGGACTAAAAACGTTTTAAATTACCGTAACTTATTTGCTGAAAAATTTTTATGGCCCCAAAACGGAACGAGTACACAAACAGGGAGCCAGCACCCGACATCAAATTTTATCAACGATTAGATTGTACAATGTCTTTGCGTCAATGAAGGTTTAATTTAAGAAATAGCGGATGTTGGGAGTGCGATTTGATGGGTCCAATGCTACTATTTTCGATAAAAAGAACCGTTTTTTTTCTTTTGTAACCTATAGGACACTTGCTCGTGCAGAAGAAATTTATCGTCACCACTGTCTGTATAATTAAATGAACCGCTAGATTAAGGGCTTTTTCGAAATGGACGCCGGTATTTGAATCTGTGAAAGACAATTAGAGCATCACAGTATGTGAATGAGAAAAAAGTAATAGCGTTGAAGAGTTTAAGCGATGATTTTAAAGAATATTAACTCTTTGCCAGCACTTTTTAAATTGGCATGTTCGAAAGTATATTTGAACAATGATAAATAGATAATTTTTGGGTTTAATCAAATTTTCGCGTCAAAGGCAATTCAACGTCATGAAAATTTCCTGACTGTCTAAAGTGAATGAAAAAAATTTTTTTTCCGATTATAGAATTCAAGTCATTCCTCTTTTGACAAGCAACACTGCATCCTCATTCTGATCAGGCGTTTGTATACTTTGGTGACAGGTCTTGCGATCTCACTTCTGAAAAAATAACCAAACTTTTACCGAACGCTGGTCAACTTTTACTTGATTCAAAATAAAAATTAAACTACGATGAATATATGAAGTTCATATATTTTGAACTGCGGTTAGAGATACGTATGATGCACGATCCTCGCAGTAGAGAGCGCTATTTATGCAATAGCGAAATTCAGGCCTGAAAAAAATCAGGTTTGAATTTCGCTATTGCATAAATAGCGCTCTCTACTGCGAGAATCGTGCATCATACGTATCTCTAACCGCAGTTCAAAATATATGAACTTCATATATTCATCGTATCTGATTTACCACCACGGGTTTATTACGAATCAACTTAACGACCTGCTCCCAGTTGGCTTGTTAGCTCAATTGGTAGAGCGCTGCACTAGTATCGCAGAGGTCAGTGGTTCGAATCCCGTACAAGCCTGATTTTTTTCAGGTCTGAATTTCGCTATTGCATAAATAGCGCTCTCTACTGCGAGGATCGTGCATCATACGTAAAAATTAAACTGATGATAAACTTCTCTTTTCATTCAACTCTCCATAGGTTACAAATCTGCTCGAGATAAAATCATAGCTGTCGCAGATACATATTCAAAAATGCTGCAAAATTATTATTCAAACGATATTTTTTTTATCACAGCAGCACCGCCACTTGAACATAGAACTCAGAAGAGTTAATGAGATGAAGCCAACAAATGGAAAGTTGGCAAGACCGTGATTTCTAAATGCTCTTTATTTCTAAACGGAAATTAAAATTCAGTGAAAAGACCACTATGTAGAAAAAGCTGCGAAACTTTTTTTTTTTTTTTTTTTTTACTTTTTACTTCCACAGCCTGACTCTAAAAACCCGTTGGTTTTATCACCCCAGTGGAAAGGACAATGTTTCTTTTTTAAATGTGATCAATACATTTCTTCAACGCGTTAAAATCTAGATAACTTCCAATTCAAATATAGCTCGATCAAATTTTTATTTAAACAGAAAAATAAACCGAACACATCCTAAATGTAAAAAAAACTGCTTCTATCTCAGTGGTGATCAAAAAAGCATATTGACTTAAGTGCCGTGAAAAAAAAAATTCAACCAATCGTAGTGCACGTTTGTGTCATACTGTGAAGTGACGTATTGTAGCAACAAAGTCCAATTTGGTTGCCTCGCAAAGGTGCGTTTCTCCGCAGCATGCACTAAATGAAATGTTTATTAGAGGCGGGCTATCGGAACACTAAAAAAAACTGTTCAAACATCAGTCGACTACCTTTCCTATGGGAACATGTAACAACTACAAACATCGTCTGTGAATCAGAGCGAACCTGATACCAATTTTCAGGATGATGAATGAAACGGAGCCTTTGATAACTCGCTCCAAAAATACGCCGTACGTTTTCAATTCGTTCATCGCACTTGCTTGTCTGAATATTGTGTTGTTCTTTACGGCGAGTTCAGGAAACATCCTGATTGTGCTCTCTCTACGGAAAGAATCTGTACTTCATACACCTTCAAGACTTCTTTTGCGTAATTTGGCTTTGACTGATTTGTTCGTTGGCCTCTTCACTCATCCTTTAGCTGCCCTGCACTCTATATCCATTGTCGTTGAAAATATACCGATTTTTCGGTTCACTGTTAGGTCAAGTTATGTCAGCAGTGCCATCTTAAGTGGAATGTCTCTTTTTGTACTGACCTTTATAAGTGTGGATAGATTACTCGCCCTCTCTCTCGGGATGAAATACAGACAAGCAGTGACCGCAAGACGGGTCCGCAGTTTTGTAATATTTTTCTGGATGTTAAATATCGCGAATGGTCTTGGACTCTTGTCACGAGAGAGATATCGCTTTCTCTTTTATATACTCAGTGCGTCGGGTATATTTCTTTGCGTGGTAATTTCGACTTTTTGCTACACGAAAATTTACCACGTTCTCCGTTTGCAACGACTGAAAGTTCGCACCATTGGTTCCCAAAAACTAAACAACAAAAACTCTCTGCTAAACGTCCAGCGGTATAAGAAGACCGTTTCAAACGCGCTTTGGGTTCACTTGACATTGTTGGCTTGTTATCTGCCGTACAGTGTAGTGTCGGGATTAAAAGCGGTGACCGGGGAAACCTGGGCAGTCGCTGAAGGATTCACTGGAACTCTTATATTCTTCAATTCATCGCTAAATCCTGTTCTTTACTGTTGGCGAATTAAGGAAGTGAGACAGGCTATAAAGGAAATGACAAGGAAATACCTTAGTTTCCTTTTAAGGGAAACTTGAATTTGAAAACTGGAAGATTCCGGTTTAAGTACGGTTCTTGAGCTGTATTTCATCTCAAACTCAGTCAACCTCCAGTTACAGTTTAGAAATTGCAGAAGTCTTTCTGCAAGATAAATTGGCTAACTTTTGGAAAAATTAACAAATTACCAGAGTCTGCATTGCATTTGATCTCCAGCTTGCACGAATATTTTAAAAGCCTTTTCCTTTTTTGATCACACACATGAGGGTTTTATTCACAGCGGCACACCGCTTTCGAACCACTTTATACACCATGATACAGAATACCACGTGAAATGAAGCAATGCGTAGCTTTTATCTGAATCGTAACACATGTACACTAATATAAGTCTTTCTCCACAAGCTTGAAAATCAGTAAAACCACCTTGTACAATTTGTTAAGCACCACACGAAGATATTGCCAAATACGTTTCAATTGAATGGTAACATAATAGGGTATCCGTGAATGGCATTCACGGAATAATTGAATACAGCTCAAAAGATTTAGTTTAAATGAACTGGGCTTTTGTCCACAGGTACAAAAGCTGGAATAACGTTAGAAGCGAAACTGAACAGCTATTGCGAGGGAAATAAATCGTAAGCCAGACCTTCTCCTGCGCAAGGCGCAATAAAAAATGAATAGCTCACACGGTGAGGTTTCATTTACCAACCACAACTGGAAAATGGTTTATTAATTGACATTTCTTAAAAACGTGCACTATCAATTATGAATTTTACGTTCAATTACCTTGAGAAGTTCCTGTTTGAAATCTATGGTGTCACTATATTAGATGATGCACAATTCATCACATTAGTGATTTTGCGGAATCCAAGCATTTGATCTTTCTAATAGGGAAAAAATATTTAAAAGTGTCCGAGGGCGATTTTACAGTCATGCACTGAACAGAATAAAATTCATAAGGTTTCGAAAAATGCGTTATATAAGTTATTGCGCACCATTTTGAAATGAAATTGTCTTCCGCTTCTCCGACAGAGCACTAAAACGGGTATTTCTAGCGTTCTTGCTCTGGTATACCTGCACAAGCAGAGAAGTTTTCCTTCTTTGAAAGCTTGGCATTTGCATTTCTCCATTCATGTTATTACGAACTTCGCATTATTAAATTTCAAGGAATACTTTAAATTAGCTTTGGCGAGGGCTTAACCACAAAACATGTGTCAACTTGAAGTGTTTAATGAACCCACAGTCTTGATCATTTTTCTCAATCCAGCCGGACAAATGTTTTACCTTTTAGAGAAGCATGTTCTCTTACGGGTAAAAAAGAGAAACTTACTTACATTTATGCCTAATAACGTTTCTGAAATAATGATACCTTGATGGGCATGCTTGCTGTGTTTCGACTTCCCGCCATCTAAACTTGGTGCGCGCAGTAATTTTTATTTGAGAAGACCTCATTGTGGAAGAGCTTTGCAATTGATGACGTAAACTGAGATGGTCACAACGTCCAATCAGAACAAAGCTAAGTATTAAGAGGAGCCAATGAGAACTCAGATTATGTGCGAGTTAACGTTTTCGAGAGCTGAAAACGTGAGTGGGAAACCAATTTACGTTTTTTCTTTCAGTCTTTTATCAGGTTGGTTGAGAATTTGACACGAGTTCTGAGACAAATTACTATGCTTATAGATGTAAAACCAACCCCCTCGACGCTCATCTGAAAATTACTCGATTAAACGTGAACACAAGTACAGTTGTGTGAAATACATGCCATTATATAATTAAGATTAAGATACAACGTTGTTTGCATTTTAGCCCGGTCACTCATCGTACGACTCTCCAGTGTAAACGGTCAATTTAACATTTGTTCCGTAAAGACTCAGCGCAGGATAAAACTCCCCCAATAAACCTACAAATGTCGGCCCATTCGGTCTGGATGGATCCGTCAGGAGTTTGCCTAAGAATAAAGAGGAATTGACGGGATTTATTTGGATTATTAATTTGAGTGACTATTTTATTGTGGTATTTTATGTAAAGTAGCCAAATGGGAATGTGTTGAAATGACTTGTACAGGTGTAAAAAGTAAATATAATATTGTGTTGACGTGTAAGAAAGTTAAAGCTGCTTAAGAAGAAATCTCCCATGGGTATGAAAAAGTAAAAATTCCTGGTAGAAAAGGTCTTTGTATAAGACAGTGGTGTGGGACACCCACGGGCAAATACAGAACTTCACGCCTCAGGAAAAAGAGCACAATACTATTGCAGGAGAGTGCCCTGATTTTTACATGACTTAAGGCAACTACGGTCCTGCACTTCCAGGAAAGGTGCATTTATCAAAGTCAAAGAGACGTTTCTGGGTCTTCACTGTGCACATGAATGATACCTGGCCGCCAAAAGCCAGATTCAGTTCTCTTTCTCCAAATTCTTTTCTCGGAAGTCTGATTTGCACATAGCAAACTACCCTCGTACTCTGCCCTTACTTGAGAATTCTTCCGGGATAATTTGTGCATCTACCTCTCCCTTAACAACAGCCAACTGATAACAAATAATAATCAGGGTCAATTTTAGTTTAGGGGAGGGGTGGGTGAGCACTTGTTCAGAAACAGTTTTCCCTTACCCTCCCTTGGCATTGTTTCTTACCGTTTAGATACAAATTCAAAAAGTATTCATCTAAGTTCAACAGTACGCCGATATTTGTGTTAGTAAGTTCCTTTGACGACCTCTTGATCTGCACTCGGTTCTTCGTGTTTGAACACGAAACGTTCGGATGTTCGTTGATTTGTACGGCATAAGAATCAGAATCTTCGCCTAAGATTGGGTCCTCAAGAGCCTTTCGGGCGACACCGACACCTGTTAGTTGGAAAATACATTGTTTGAGAAAATATGATTGATAACGTCAAAGGTTAATATAAGTATGAAATGACGGACTGAGACCAATAAGATCTGAGGCAGACTTCTAAAGGAACAACCGGGATCCCTGTGCTGTGTTGTTGGATCTAACTGAACGGACGTTTTTAAAAAGCGAAGATAAATAAGAAAGAGAATTCAGCTTCTTCTAGAGCACCTTGACTTCAACCAAAATACTGCAAAAACCCTTGCTTTAGTTTTATAATCTAAACGGTATAGACTAAAGATCTGTAATATAACACAAGGTAAAAAGATTTTTAATTCTTGCTTCTATCCCCGTCTCAAAATCTTCTCTGCTCAAGTTCCCTATAATAATCTGTAAAAAAAGCCGTATGGTCAAGTTGCTAGTGCATTCCTCCCCCCTCCCCCTCCCCGTTCAATCCCTGTGTACTTGTAGCGTTGTCATTCATGTACTCTAGACATGGCAAGACAGTACCGAAACGTTTTCGAAGCTTCTTCCCAGCCGGTGTAAAGCGATGGTAGACCATCTCGTTCCAATTATATGAAGTCCAAAACAGACACGAAAGTCCTCTGGCCTGAAGACTTATTAGAACTTAAGAATCCTCTTATGTGGTAACTAGAGAACGGAAGTAAGAACCTCCGCATTTCCGTCACGCAGTCCTCCCAACAAGATCTCGTGACACACCAATGGAAGATTCTTTTTAGAAACTTCACTTACCGATGATTGAGAGTTTGTTGTGGGAGTTGAATTCATCCACGTGAACTCTCCAGTAATGACAAGCAGTAGATAATTTCACGTTTCCCAAAATGAAAGTGTACATAGGACTTTTCAGACTCACAGTACAATTTTCATTGGTTAGTTCCAAGTCGTGATTCGCTGATGATGAATCCAGTTGGAAGTATAAGCCTAGAAGGAATATATTTCGAATTAAGATTCATAAAGATAGTGGTTGTCAAAGGAGATGTCGCACAAGTTCAGCCTCTTTCAAATCCTCCATTTTCGTCCCGCGGAAAAGAAGTCCGTGGATCAGCCACGAGGACTTTTCGTGTAGGATGATTTATTTGCAACTCTCAGGCTTTTCAATGATTCTTGGATATGGATCTGTAGCCCTGGTATCTATATCGCTTGTTACTTTGACTTTCTGTGTACCTGTTTGTCTGTTTAGCTGTCCGCCAACAGACTGATCGACTCAATGTCTGACTGACCAAATGACTGACTAACTGGCTAACTGTTTGGCTAATCGACTGACTCACTCACTCACTGACTGACTGACTGATGACCGGCTGATTGACTAATTAAATGACTGACTGACCTATCGATCGACTGCCGGACTGACTGACAGACTGACCAACCAAGTGACGAAGTTTCTGACTGACTGACTAATTAACTGACTGACAGACTGACTGACTGACAGACTGACAGACTGACTGACTGACAGACTGACTAACAGACTGACTGATTGACTGACAGTCTGACTCACTGGCAGACTGACTAAGTGACTGACTGACTGACAGACTGACTGACTGACTGACAGACTGACTAATTGACTGACAGACTGACTGACTGACTGACTGACTGACAGACTGACTGACAGACTGATTGACAGACTGACTGACTGACAGAGTGACAGACTGACTGACTGACAGACTGACTGACTGACTGACTGACAGACTGACTGACTGACAGACTGACTGACTGACAGACTGACTGAATGAGGTTCTGACTGTCAGATAGACAGATTGCACCTCCATATCGTTCCCCTCAACACCTACCTGTTGGCGTTGAAAGAATTAGCTCCTCACTCGGAGTTCCTTCACCAGTCGGATTCACGCCGAACACGCGCGCAATGACATTTACACTATAAGGTACACTGTACAGCGCGTATTCACGCGCGGCACCCTCGTACAGTCGTTTAAACTTGCGGTCCTTCTTCCTTCGTGTTGCAAACTCGGAGCTTTTTACCATGTCCACTTCAAGAACATAATAATCAACACAGCATTTTGTTTCCGGAGCCAGCCAGCCAAGTAACACTGTTGTGTTGTTCACTTTACATCTGGCCTTGTTGAATGCTGGAGAGTCTGGAGAGAGAAAATCATGATTGGTGACAATCAGTACTTGCTTGGTGCCGGTAGAGGATACAATAGTGGGTAAATTATGAAGAATTGGTCACCTTGCTACTAAATGAGCCACTCACCACGCTCACCCTAAACGATCAAGAGATCTTAGTTAGCTGAGGCAATGAAAAAAAGCCTTGCGACAGAATACAAATTGTCCAAGCGTAACGTGGAGGAAATCTATTTTGTATTGTTCATCTACATGAGCAGCGCATCTGAAAATATTGATCCAGACATTAAAATCCTCTATGTGTCTGCGTCTTTGTTTATCTTAATTTTATAAAGGGCTTTAGTTTGCACAGTTATTTTTTAGATGCTCTTTTGGCAACTACCGCTGACTACCTGGAACTGAAGGAGTGGCTATCCCTGTTACCATGGTCATCTCCACTTTGGCTCCATACAGACACAGGGCCGCACAGAATTCCCCACTCAGCCCCTTAAAACTAGGACCCTTAGGACGACCAATGTCCGTTTGAAGTTCCCCGTCAAGGTAAATGTTGAGGAACTGATTGTTTAGGTCCAGGAAAACACCAAGGCTACTGTCCTTCAGGTCTTTTGCTTTTCTTTTAATCTGAATCTTGTGCTTGGCGTTCTCAGTTCGAGCTGTTGTACCTTCGAAGATTTGTAAGGCGTAAGATCCAGAAGTGTTCCCCAGAATGGAATCCTGGGTAATCTTTTTGGCGACCCCTACAAATGAAGAACAGATTTAGAAGTTACGAAAGAGCAGATTGTATCTATGTTGCTAACCCCACTACATAATGTTGAAAGCTGGAAGTAGGTTGTATAACTTGTGGTTGGGGTCCTTTAATATGTTTACAAACAGTTTCTCGCATTAAATTTGACAACGGTTAGCAAGGGATGTTAAGTTGGAAACTTCCAATCTTCTGGTGCATGATAGATCAGGACCATAAATGGTAGAGAAGGCCCGCTTCTGAATTGTTTCGATTTCGTCGCTATGCTGGTAAAGCGTAACAAAATACAGGTGGACCGTATCATTTTAATGCCGCATCATTTTAATGCCCGTCGCTTAGTAACTTACCAACAGCTATAAAAGAATTTTCTCCTTTAAAGTTGTCAATATTTATCGTCCAGTAGTGGCAGCCATCGGCCAGGAACGCTGTACCAAAGGCGTTCCCGTGTACCATGTTGTTTTGTTTTACTTTCAGATTTCCAGCAGACAGGCGGAGTGATTCGTGCAAAGATTCTTTGTCCAATTTGAAAATAACACCTGAAAATAAGGCAACTGTGTTCAAAGATGTTGACAAGAAATGACACCATTTTCTAATCGCCTCAAGTAATAAACTCTATATTTCAACGTTCGCAAGATTTCTCTATTCAACCATTTAGTTTTACCCATTCTTCTTATTCGTAATTCATAAAGAACGGTTTCAACATCGTTGACGGATCACCATGCGGAAAGCTTCTCCTAAAATTTTTATATCCACCCACTAAGAAGTTTCTGTAAAGACTATTCCTTTAAGTACATCTTCCCAAACCCACACTGAACGTTAAATAGAGCACTGAAGAAACACTGAAGTCGTTAAAGATATAGAAGCTTTCTTCCAAACTTACTCACTCTCTGTTATCAGTTGAGGAGTGAAGTAAGATTAATCTCATATGTAAATATTTTACTGCCGAATCTAAATACAGAAATTAAATTGATTCCAATTACCCTTTTCAGTCGATAGCGAAACTTCATCACTCGGTTCACTTTCGCCAGCGGTATTCAAGGCTTTTACACGCGCGAGAACAGTAACATTGTAGTCCAATCCCCTGAGTGTGTACTTGGTGCGTGGTCCTTGGTACACCTTAATGAAGTTACGCTCCTGATGGATGTCCCCCTCCCGATCTAGGGTGTCGATCTCTACGATGTAACAGTCCACGTTGCAGTTTTCTGGGGGAGACCACACTAAGTTGATTCTCGTGTTCTCTACGCTGCACTGTTCGAGGTGAATAACAGGAGGTTCTAGAATAGAATATCCACTTTGGAGTTGTATTCGAATTTCAAGGTAAATTAATTTTAAGGAAAAAAATCATCAAAGCACTGTAAGAAAATTTAATAGATGTCGAAAAATTATCTCTAGATGCCCCCATATACGGGACCCAAGTATCTGTCCACCAGAAAAAGTTCGCAATAAGTACTTATTTCCGTTACCTTTATAGAAAGGTCACTTTTATCGAGGGACACCTGAGAGGGGGACTATTTTCTAGTCTCAAGACCACCCCTTAATGGATGAACCACTGCAATTGATATCTTACCAGGGTATGCAGCTGGTCTCTCAAGTCCAGTCTGTAAACTCAGCTGCACAGTACTTCCATACACGGTAAAGGCCGGCCTTACAGGTCCGACCACGCCCATCAGAGAGGGTCCCCCAGGGCGGGAATCGTCGGTCTGTAGTTTTCCGTTCCAGTATACATTCATCACTTGATTTTCCAAGTCCAATAACACTGCCACGTTGCTTCCTTTTATTTCTTTGGCTTTCTGTTTGATTTGAAGTCTATTGTGAGTATTCTCGCACCACAGTGTACCGTTCTCGTGGATTTGTAGAGCGTATGAGTCCGTGTCATTTCCTTATAAAAATGATTCAAGTATGATCAGTGTACGAGCAATTACCAAAAAACTATAACTAGGATACTATGAGTTCATCCTTTCTTGATTTTACTTAAGTAATAAATAAGAGCGTATCTTTTTAATGAACGATAATGGTTTGTCCGGTGTAATGTCGGGTTGTATGGAATTCCACATCGTTAGGCAAACAGTACTTACTTCATTACGAGTGTATTGACCACAATCTCTAACAACAACCCTTTTTTTTAACAATAAAGAGCATTCTTTCGTGTTCACTGGCTAATCTAGCCCTACTTAAAGCTCACAGCCTTCTGGAAGAGAACTCTGTGCAGGTGTTTGGTCAGATATTGTGATTGATGACTTTTATTAAGGGGCTATCAAAAATTTGTATGCAAAGTGTTTATCTCAAGCAAAAATGCGAGGCGTATGAAGCTCCAACCGTAATTCTTTGATGTCTTTCGATCTATTTCCGCATCCTTGAGGTTAAGTTCTGCGAAGATGAGAAACGTAAATGTGAAATAATTCATAGCTACAGATAATTTCTATCGACTAGCTGGTGGCCAAAAAGTCATGCCTACTACTTCTCCGTTTAAACCCCAGCATTTTGCGTCAATTTTTGGCTTTACAGCAATTGCAACATGCAAAATGTTTTTTTATCATCTTACCGATAACACCTTCATCGTCCATCTCCTTGGCTACACCCACGGCCACAAACCCGTTGTTACCGGTTCCAGAAAACTGGTCGATCCTGACTTTCCAGTAATGACAACCGTTTGCAAGCGGCACGTGGGACATCACACTCACCATGACTGGACTTGTCAATTTTGCCACGAGTAGGTCACGTGAGAAAACTAATTCGCGTTTTGGACACGAAGAGGGGTCCAGTGTGAAATGGAATCCTGTGAAAAGGCAAACAGAACGAAATAAACTTTTGCCACATCTTCTCTAGGCATTTTTCAGTTAAGTTGGGAGGGGGGGGGGATATTCCGGGATTAAAGTGATTTTGGTTGGCGTGCTTTGTGATTGCATAACAGAATTGGTGGCACTCTCTCATATCTCGATCAGTGAGACGCATTATTTAAAACCAATCACGATTTTTTCATTCGCGTTTACCTGCAGATGTGCTAGTTACATTTGTTTGAGATCAAATCTCTGGGGCTCCATATGTCGGGGTTTTTTTTTTCTGAATGGCTGTTGTAACATTTTGGGTTTGCTTTTACGAAATTCAACAGCAAAATCTCTAAAAATTGGGAAGAAAAAAAATAAGCAACAATTTTGTCTTACCTTTCTCGGTGTAGATCGTTATATCCTGACAGAAAGGTCCTTCTCCAGCTCTGTTCGACGCGCGGACCCTGGCAACGACCCTAGCATTGTAATGAAGACACTCAAGATTGTACCTACAGGCAGTCCCCACTGATACCTTGACGGTTTCATGATGCTCCTTTTTACTAGAGTCTTGTGGAGGTGAATAGATATCGGCCTCAAGGTGATAAGCATCTACAGCGCTTGGTGGCGCATTCCACACCAATTGGATGGTCCGGTTTGTAGCTTTACATTGAGAGGAAACAAACTTAGGGCTACCTGTAGTTTAAAATTTCACAAATATTAATGAAGATAAATATGTTCAGATCGTCATCACTGTCAGAATAATTTTTAATCGAGTTTCGAAAGTAGACCGGGATTGTTTTTTGTGGGTTGTACTTCAGTCGTTGATTAATCCACAAAACTGGCGCCATTTTCTGAACCAATCAGATTCAAAACTAAAGACAATCGTGTCTCGATAACTCGCGTTTAATTTCCCGCGCACTGATCGATCATCTTGCTTGTTGTTACTTTGAGTTGTCATTTGCTCCTTATGGCTTTCTTCTTTGCTCTGATTGGCTGATTACTTTCGTTTTGGCTTTACGACTCTCAGTGAACGAGTTCTTTAAGCTTTGAGAGCTGAAATTTTTACCAGAGGGCCATAGAACTATTTCTGTGGACTATTTCTATTTCTGTGAACTATTTCTAACTATTTCTGTGGATTCAGATTAGTTCAAGACATTTTTCTGAGTTTTCGTTCCCCGTCCACTTTACAAGTTGTTCAAAGTGCAAGGAAATCTATCATTCTGATACCTAACGGAGGACATCCAGTTAACGTTAATAAACGCTCGCAGCGGTAGAGAGTAAACTTTTTCTAAAAATGATATTTAGGTTTCCTCTACAGAATTAAGCGCGTCGAAATGGCGTAGCAACGAGTAGATTGTTGCTATAAGCAGCACATTTCACCCCCTGAGAGAACACTTGCCTGGTTTTTGAAGCCACGTGACTTTCTTGAGCACTTTTCTTTCCCATGAAGTGTCGACAGCCATGTGATCAAAAGTGGGCGTGATGGAAGATGCAGACGGAAGTTTTCTGATTGTCTCAAGCATCAGATTCAACCTAAAATTAGGAGGAGAGATTTTCTGGTTTGGGTATTTACTCGGGAGATTATTAACACTTTAAAATAAAAACACGTATTTTCATTTCAAAATGACTTCTTGAGAGACGAAGAAAGGACCTAGAAACGAGGTTGGCTTGGCAACGATGGCGTATTGTCTTTCCTCTTTATAGATCTTATGCCCAGTGGTGTGGGTGACGTGGTGGCTAAGGCCTGGCTGGGTCAATGTGCTGTGTTGTCAATCTTGAGCCCAGGGTAAATTTGGCCCTTTTTCTGTGGTATTGTCGCCAAATAAAGACCATACTACTGCCAAGGTCTCCCTCCACCCAAGAATATAAATGGCGTCCGGAAAATATGATGATGTGCGGGATGGGAGGTAAGCTTGCAATGGGCTAGCATCCCATCCAGGGGGGTGTAGTAATACCCTCAGCTCAGGCTGGGTGGACCACTTAGCTCGAGTACAGATTTGAATTTGCCTTAGAGCTCAGTGGTCGGTTAACTCAACTTTGAACGGAAAGTATGCTAATTTAGTTACCTTGTCTTTAAGGCGTCGGCTGTCTGCAAAAAAGATCAAATTAATTGATGATAAACGAGTAGGCAAAGTAAACTTGCTACTGTTTTTAAAGCGCAGTTTTCATTCTTATTTATCATGGAGGATAAGTCAATATTCACCTGAAATAATGTGACTGCTATATTTTTCTAAAGTTCCTAGTGTAAACCAGACTAACTTGTTGCCTGGTAACAGTTGCAGTTCACAGTAGTAGAATAGACAGTCGCACTTACCTGAAGGAAAGTTGCGGGGTTATCCTCCTTCAAAGCTTCTTGTGTGAACTCAGCCAAGCCGTCACCTTGTAACAGTATATTTTCACACTGGTGCATGGCATCGCTAAGTTCTCCTAGTTTATCTTGATATTCATCACCTACTCTTTTAAATAGCTCCGCTTTCTTTTTTTCCACTATAGCAATCAGTGAGTCGCATTCCCTCTTGACATGAGCTTCAACGTCACAACCAGACTTCTAAAATTTAATAAAGTAACATAAATTTATTTTCAAGCTTTTATATTATTATCATTTTTGTTTCATTGTTACTCGACGGTTATTTAGGACTTTATTATCGAATATCTTTTTCCCAAAGTTGGCAGCTTTACAGGTACAGCCGACCACCTCTTAGCTTTCCATCGCTTCCCTGGAAGTTGTAAAAGACTTTATTCGCTAGTATCATTTGTTGACTTGTTTAAGTGGAAACTCTTTGGATAGATTCCGTAGCTCTTCAGGCACCGCGGGAAAACTGGGGACCGTGATGAATTGGGAGCTGCATGGGCATGCAGCCCTTTCTTCGTATCAAACAAAAACTTACCTTGGCAATAGTGCACATCCCCTCTAAGGACTGAAGAGACTTTTGTACATGGTAATTCTTCCTTGTCAGCGTTCCTAATGTTCTCGCCAACTCCTCCTACAAGTTGAAAAATTGTTCAGAGAAAAATTTTGTGTACGACAATATCATAATTAACTAACAAGTAATCTACGGAGGAAATGTGCTATTCTTACTTTTGCATTTCTAAATACGGGCTCTAGCAGTTCCACATTGTGCCCCTTATGGGTGCCTTACTCTTTGCACAAATAGCACACCGGCTCTTTGCATGCAAAGCAGTACAGAGCCAGTTTCTCTTCTTTGTGTTGCTGACATTGCATGCTCTTTTCTTGACGCTTTGTGGGCTTGGCTATAGCAGGCCCTATGGTATGGTCGGCTAAAGGGCCCTTGCTGGGATGGCACGCATCGAAACAGGTTCCACAGTAGAGAAAGGCACACTCGTTGCACATCAAAGTAGCTTTTTGAGGGGAGTAATCTTCGCAGAATTGACACAGAAGAGGTTCCTCCTGTGCTTGACCTAAAACGAACATGAAATAAAATTAAACAGCATGGTCGAACGCCCGAAGAAGATGAAACATAGTGGCGTAACACGGCGGTTTTTATTTGGCGGTTTTTGTCTGGCTATAGAAAAAAACAAGTCACACTCAGCCTAGATCTGCGTTAGGTTTTCAGCTGGCATGCCTTTCGACCGGAACAAAGACGCCTCGAACTGGTTTTTTTTGTTTTTGTCTTTGTAACAAAACGGAAAAAAAAACAAACCGAAAATCATTTATGCACATTTTCCCGCGCTTGGAGCTGGTTGCGTTATGTCAAAGAATTGCGCCAATCTTATTTAACAATCAGACGCAAAAACACCACGTCGCATTATATATAGTAATGAAAGTTTCCCCGCGCCGAATATAGTTGCTTGTTCCAACGTCTATTTACAGACGATATGATTGGACACGACGATTATTTTGGTTTGGCTTTTCGGCTCATTTCTCCACACGGCTAGTGCAACAGCTCTGAACTTTCACGACGTCGTAATAAACTTTTAATATAACAGAGAAGTCTCTTGTCATTTCTTTAAAAACTGCTTCACATTTTTTTTGTCAAGAGTCTAACAATCGACCGAACAAACGAGTACCAATTAAAACACGTTCACTCATAATTACTGAAATATTCAACAGTTACATCAATTATTATAAAGAACGAAAACGAATTCAAACGAATAATTTCCGCATAAAATTAAATTTGGCTTACTTGAAACAAAGAAATTAAAAAATTGTTTTAATTTAAAATTTCATACGACGCTCATTAATTTTTACGTTTCAACGAAATAAACATAGTTCGGCTGCCCACATAAATAATTAAAACGGAAAAGAACTCTCAAGAGTCTATTACGACTATGTTTAATTCAAATTCCGTGACTGTAGATAATTTCAAAAAAAGCAAATGTATGGTCAAGGCTGAAATAAATGAGTACTGCAGACTTTCTTCATAGGCATTAAACTAATAGATATTGAACCGATAAAGAACACTTTTTAATGTGGTCACCAAGACGATTGCAGTTGCATTGTAATGGATTGTGATCCGCAATGTGATGAACGCAAAATCGAAGACAATTACGTTCTTCCTAAGAAAAAAAATTAACTCAAACCTTAAAACCACTTATATTTCTATGTGATAGCTGATGAAATGTTTCAATAAGGAGAAAAAGAAAATTCCCTCTCGGTATCTACCTGGAGTTTTTCTCTCTTCCTTGAATCTTTCAATTACGTTCTCCAAAATCAAATTTCGAGGTAGACCATCAACACCTTTTGGATCGAAAGGTATTTTGCGTCGACATGTTGGACATTTTACATCGGGTTCCAAGTGCGACTTATAGTCCGCGCTCCTGTTTTCCTTCACCCATTTCGCCCATGCCTTTGGCGCTCCGTTTGGCTCCAAGATTTTCCGCGCGCATGGTGTACAGAGGTTATGCGAACATGGAAGAACGATCGGCCTTTGAAAAAGATCCAAGCAAACAGGACATGTCAACTCAATCTCCATTGCTACGAAAAAGAAATTGTCGAGTGCTTGCTATGTGAGGCGGTGGATGTTGTTTTACATCTGCTTGTAACCTTGGTTGCAAGTTGTTACAAGCCTCGATAAAAACGTGGATTTCGCGCGCTTCCTACCACGCGTGTTCCCGCGCATGCCCAGGTCACGATTCCGAACCTTTTTGCCTTTTTTCCTCTTTTTAAGACCTTTGTGAGTGTTGCATAATATTTGATTTCCTTCCTATCCTTTCATGGTGAACATTTGGCGTGTCTAAAGAAAAGTTCGTTATACAAGGGTTTCTCCACTACCAGAAGCACATATCCTATTTAAATAGTGAAATTGTTCGCCTTATTCTCCGAGTTTTTTACCCGTTTCTTTCCTTCTTTTAATTTTCTTTTGCTTTGTTGTGGTTTTTTCGTTTTAACAGTGGTGAACAAGGGATTAAATGGCACATTCGCTCTGGACAAGTAGAACAAAAAAACCTGTCTCCAACGTATATGAGCACTTTCTGATGTATAGACTTCAAACAAACACGATGGGAGAAATGAACACATGAAGATATGTAACTAATCAATTAAATTGACACGACTAAGAGTGTTAATATGCTTTTGTAAATAGGCTCCGTACATAAGCTTTCACGTGCCTTCGAATTCCTCCTATACGAATGAATATTGATCTAAATGTGGGGCACATACAGTCACCGTTGGGTGAATTTTGAAGCGTTATTTTAGTTTTATAGTCAATTTCGTTGTCTAAGGCAAGTTGTAGCCTTGACAGATTCTCTTAGAAGGTCATGAATGTAAAAGCACAATTGATTGCGGTTTCAAAGGGTCTATTTTGCGATTCGTTTTTATTGTTTCACATAACACGGAGCCCTGTTGTGGGGATATGAATGGCGGGCATGCGACAATATTGTCATGTTAATTGCTGGCACGTGTATTTATTGTAATACTTTAAAATTATTTCATTAGATGCTGGCAAAATATTCACCTCTTGCTGTGGCACTTTTGAAAATAAATTTATTTCTAAACCTGTAAAACTCACAGAGAAAATGGGTGATTATCACAAAATTGTTTCGTCTGTGATCTACTTGAATATGCTCTGTAGATCTGCATCAGAATGTCAAATTAAATGTGCAATTATTTATTTTTTTCGTAAAGATCCCATATTTAAGGGATTAGTGTAAGGTGGTTTTCCCAAGAAAACCATTTGAAATACAGCTGGATCAAGTCAATAACACCAGCAGTGACCAATCACAACGCCTTTCTATAGATATCAACCAATCAGCATTGCCAGACTGACACGTGCTAATTTGGCGCTAATTGTTCGTGCATGAAAAACTAAACAGATTTTGCAGTCATCTTTGACCGCGCGTAATCGTGTCGTTCAGTGTAGAGCTCAGGCACGGAAAAAAATCCCTAGGAAATGGAGGCAGAATTAAGTTGTCCTGTTTGGAACAAGCCGTATGTAAACCCTATAATCCTGCCTTGTTCTCACAACATTTGCTTGGGTTGTTCGCAATCCACGTTGACAACTACCGGTGGAGAGAAATCTGCGACCGATCGAAATGGAACACAGGTTGACACTGAGGAAACACCGTACATCACTTTGTACGACATGAATCATTTGTATCAAAGCATAGGAAATCTACCGTGTTTAAAGTGTCCAACATGCAGCAAACTATTTCCCCTCGACGACCAAGGGATCAGTGGATTTCCCCGCAACCGCCTATTGGAAAATATTGTTAATCGGTATTATGCTAAATCGAATGGAATTGTTTATTGTCAACTTTGCGAGGAAACCCAACCTTGTCAAGCAACGGTTATGTGCGAACAATGTGAAGTTGCTTATTGCGATCGATGTTGTAAAACCTGTCATCCTAGCCGTGGTCCTTTAGCGAAACACTCGTTGATTCCTCCCACAAGTTTGAAGTCGCCTAACAAACCGACTGTAGTAAAGTGCGGAAGCCACAGCGAAGAAAACATCAGCATGTACTGTGTATTCTGCCGTATTCCTGTTTGTTATGTGTGTTTGGAGCGGGGACAGCACAGTGGCCATGAAGTGAAAGCGTTGGGAGCGATGTTTAAAGAGCAAAAGGTACAAAGAAAAAAATCATATCAAATTCGTATTATTTTATCTCTGACCAGAAGAGGTAAATCAGCTAACTTTATGAACTCCCCTCCACTGAGAATTCGTATAAACTATCCTTGCGATTAACTGTAACACCTGTGATTTGTTTTTCAGTTTTGTATTTCCCTTTTTTTTACGAAGAAATTGTGGGAAATCACATAAGTTGAGGTTGCCTCTCCAGCTTTTACTGGCTCTTAATTTGCGACAATTCTTTTACCTTGGAAAGATCTTCGACAATATGCAAATTTTAGAGAGTGAATATTTAATGGTTACAAGTAAAGTTTCAAGCGAAGTTATCGAAGTCAAAATGGGAAGATCATGGTTAAGAGCTATTTTGAAAATAAATTTTTTTTTTTGCTTTTGCATCGAAGCCCCATTTTGGGGATATTTAAATATACTTTGTTGAAAAAACTGAATGTACATTAATGTATTTAATTTCATTTCTATGAGACAATTTTAGAAATTTACTATTATGATAGTTTAATTTTTTAGTTTGTAATTTGTGTATGGTAAACATTTGCAAAATTGTTCACCCAGAATGACATTTTGTTTTGTACCCCCAATTATTTTGTTCTCACTAGAGTTACAGATGTTACAAATATTTTCTACTTATATCGAAACAGTATACCTATTTTAAAAGGACATTTGAGACTGGTGATTTTTCCCAACGCAGTCATGTTTAATTCTGAAAATTGTTCTTTCACTGAAATTTTTCTCCTATCCTATTTTAATTGTCATCTTTAACTTGGGTTGCTTCAAAATAATTTGAAATACCTACCAAATGAAGATGAAAATTTTTAAGGCCTTTCCTGCTAGTTAAAAAGGATAATTATTTGTGAGTGACATTTCAGCATACTCAGAAAAAATTCTATCATTAGGAATAGAATCTGAATGTTTATGACTACCTAACCCTATTTATGTTTATTATTACTCTGAAAATTTGCAACACCTGTGCTTTTTTTTTTTTTTTTTCACTTTTGTTTCTCACCTTTTTTCAAACCAAAAATTTTACACTTTGTAATTATATTATTGTAAAAATAATTGATGCAGCAACTTGTTTGACAAGGAAAATTATCTACAATAGACAGGAGACTCAGGGTGGCAGGTCATTAGTCTCAGACAAAGTGATCATTAGACATCTTGTCTACTGCAACAATTTCAATTTTGATGGAATTGTTTTTGGACAATGATGAAAATGAAGAGGGTGGCTTTTAAAGTGGGCAATGAAAGTGACATGGGATGTTTTCTAGTCTTTGACACAGCCATGTTGAGGAAGAGGAATTTTAAGTGCTGACAAGAACATTTGAGTCTTTGATCATTCAATCACCTATAGCGCTTCAGACACCTTCCTAACAAAGCTGTCAAGGCTCCAAGCTCAGCTCTTTTCAAAATTAGGAAATGTATGTTCACCTGAGAAATAAATTCTTTAGTTACCAAAGAAACAAACAAAAAAAAACAAAAGGAAATAGGACGTTTTGTGAAACCTTAACACTCAATACAATTGTTTGTCTCAACATTAGACAATGAATACTAAGAAATGAATTTATTAGAACTTGCTTAGGACTGCAAAATTGGCAACTTTTGCTGCAAGGCCAGTTGCAAAAATGATTTTCTTCTTGACATGATGACCAAGATGGCAGCAGGTTTTAGTCACTGGCTCAAAAAAATATGAGCTGGTGGCTTTGGTTCTTGTGGCAATTTAAATATCCTGTGATAGTTGTGTAATTGCAATGTGAAGAAGAAGGAAGTTGAAATGTTTAAAATTGTGAGGAAAGTGAAAGATGTTTTTGTCAGTGACATAACTGAAATAATCTGAAAAAAACAAAAAGAAAGTGCAGGTAAGGATCATGGAACAAACACCTTTATCAATATTACAAGGATTTGAATGTCAATTTGATTTTTCTGAGCAGTGATGTAAATGAAAAACACTGTGAAAGTGAAATAATTTTCTTTTCACACAGATGTAAGCAAATATGAAAAAAAAACAGATTCTCTGTATTAGAAAAAAGCTATTTTTTCTCTAAGATAATTTGTCCTTATTCTATTCTGTTTTTTTCTTTTTTTTTTTTGTAGGCTGAACTTTTAGCCAGCATGAAGTTACTGGATGGGAAAAATAACGATTTGAAAAACTTTATTCAGTGTCTTAATGGAAACTGCTCAATAATCCAGGTAATATACTCACAGCTGTGTTTCAAATCAGCAGCTCTTGTCTCGAAACTTAATCTGAGGTTCCAGGGTCTTAAATCTTTCAAAAAACTGAGCAGAGTTACACAGGTAATCCAAACACAAAACCTGGTGACCTGTGGCACCTAGGCTTTGCAAAATGGCACTGCCTAATCAATTTGGTTATGATTATAATTGATTAATAACTTATATAAGGTCAAAATTTCTGGAGACATATACTGCTTTGAAAAAGATTTTGTTCAAAAACTGTAACTTTTCTAGTACTCATATTGATTATGGTACTTGATGATGATAATGACAGTGAAAATTATCATAACGATGGTTTTGTAGATTGAATAAAGCCAATCATGGGGTATGAATTGAAGAGACGAAGCTGATAAAATTTGATTTTTCAAAAGTAGGATACTTGAGAGTATTAATGCTCCCATGAGTGATTAACATGCAACTTCTCCCTATAATAACCATAAATTATTCAACAAACAGGTAATGAGAGTCCAAAAACTTATCTGGTTGGTGATATCTTGATCTTACCTCAAATTCTCCCAACTAATTTAACAGGAAATGTTTAGTAGCTACAAGGGAGAGTTAACAATTGGATCTTGGGAATTAACGAGCAAAGTGCCAGAACAGGAGGAGTGCGGCAAAAAGAACCCAAGGACTTTATGGCCATGTGCTTAATTCAACTGTTTTTTTTAAGCCTATAGTATGCAAACTCAACAAACATGTACATCTATATGTCATTCAAAGTCATGCAATACACACTAATGATTAACCATTCTCAATTAATAGGGGTCAGGTTATTAAAATCATTCATCATCCATTCATCCATTCATTTCTCAAATTTCCTTTTTCCAGGAAAATGGTTTGGAGTTTGAAGCCAGTGTGGTAGCTCAATGTGATTCATTGATAAATTTCATACAGCAGCGTAAAGTGGAGTTAATTGAAGCCATCACAACAGAGATGAACTCTAAGATGCAGAAGGTCAAAGAGCAAATCAAAGCCTGTGAAGAAAAGGGTAAAAAAGTGGCAGGGGTTCTGCAATATGCTCATGAATGTTTACAGGGAACAGATGCAGCCTCTTTTCTGTTGGTAAGAATGTTTTTGAGATATAAAATCATTTGATCAATGATGGTGGTTGTTAATTGCAGAAATTTGGGAGAATTTATATGAATGTGGATAAATTGATCCTGATGGGTCTATAATGATTTTATTATTATCTTTCCAGGTTGCAAACTCTCTAAATGGAAGGTGAGTTGATTTTTTTAAATATTGGTTGTAAGACAATGATTACTGCTTGAGAAGTGAAGTTGTGAATAAGGAGGTACCAGCCGGTACCAAAATTGAGCTTGTTATTATATTGCAAGGAACATTTTATTCCAGTACATAGCACTCAAGCTTAAAAGTTACTGTCTGATTGAGCAGCTATTAATTTATTCATTTTCTATTTTCTTCTACACAATCACAGAATTTTGAACATTATTAATCAGTGGTCAAAAGAAGTAAAACTTGAACCAACTACTGGTGTGGAACTGGAATTGACTTTGGACACATCAGGGGCAATACAAGCCCTCCATGATTTGCACTTCATAGAACTCAAAGGTAAACAAACAATTCTGTGATATTTGAGACTTATACCTCATTCACACCAATTCAAATCATTAACATGTTTAAAAGCTGTTTTGTCAAACATGGTTGAAAAGTGTTTTCTTCATAGTAACAGCTTCTTTAACTGATTTTTGTCAACCTCATATTTAGCTCATCGAAACTTCAAGAAGTTAGTGACTTCTTAAAACCTATGGAAAATTCAGGTTTTCAGTTTTGATTGTGTCTGATTATCATCCAGTTAAATCCAGTACATTTAGCTGAACATGTTTTGCAAGTGTGTTAATGGTGTATTAGCTGTTGGTGGTTTACAAAAAAAAAAGTGTATTTTGGAACCATCCATGTATCCATGAATGCAGTTGTTATAGAAATTAAGAAACCAACATTTACTGTGTGTGATATGTTTGACCAAAAATAGCTCCTTATAGCGTCCTCCATTTTATTTATTTATTTATTTATTTACTTGTTTATAAATTTTCTTTGCAGCCCCAATAGCTCCAGAAATAGTTCCAGATGAATGCACGGTCACAAACAATGCCATCACATTATCATGGAGACCTCGCATCAAACAGAGCTGTGTGGATGGCTATGTGGTTGAGATTGATGATGGTACTTCAAGTGGTAAAGAGGACAATTTCCTGGAGGTTTATCGCGGGAGTTGTTTGGAATGCACTGTATCTGGCCTACAGTTTAACTCAACGTACCGAGCAAGAGTCAAGGGTTTTAACAAAGCTGGAGAGGGTGCACCAAGTGATGAGGTGTATTTGACAACATCTGACGGTGAGGAATTAAAAGACAGTAACTGTTACATATTCGAGTGAAATGTTTTCTTCATTTCTCAGAGTCTCCCCAATGAAATGTGCAAATTCAAGTAGTTCAAATTTGTTGGTTTGGAAGAATTTTTTGTAAACTATATGATCTGGTCTTTAATTCATAAAAAAATTTGGGTATAATTGCAGAGCAATTTAAAGTGAAACAATTTAGTTCTGAGCATGACTTAACCCTTTAAGTGCGCTAAGGGGGTGGTGGAAAGGACATTTTGCAGGGGTTCAGTTTTCATGACCTTTGATAGACAGGTATAGATACGACTCTTCTAGGGGTCAGTCCTTTAAGATAAATTTGCAACAAAGCTATTCAAGAGGACAGCAAGTCTGGCCTTGAAGTGCTCAACTACATACTTATGCTTATTTTTTCCCCTGTATTTCAGTTGCCTGGTTCTCTCTGGATCCTGCAACTGCCCATCCAGACATAGTTCTTACAAATGATGACACAACAACAACATGCACCAGTTTTGATGACAGGGTTGTGCTGGGTAACATTGGTTTTTCCAGAGGCTGTCACTACTGGGAGGTGACCATTGATCGTTATGATGGAAACCCTGATCCTGCTGTTGGTGTTGCCTTAGCGAGCACCATCAAGGATTCCATTCTGGGAAAAGATGACAAGGCATGGTGTATGTACATTGATAGCAGTCGAAGCTGGTTTCGCCACAACAATGAACACTCCAATCGCCGTGATGGTGGGGTTGAGGTTGGTTCTGTTATTGGAGTATTACTGGACATACCAAACCACAAAGTGACATACTATTTGAATGACCAGAAAAGAGGTCTCATGCGACTCCCTGATACTTCAGAGGCATTTTATGCAGCATTTAGTTTGAGTCGTAATGTACAAATCACATTGCATACTGGGCTTGAGCCTCCAGAGGAGGAATTTATTAATAACAACAAGTAGAGGAAAAACAATCAGAATTTGTAGGTTCAAAATGCATACTAGTATCTGTTATCTACCAGGTGGATCGAGGGTTGGTATGGGAAAAGGGTAGTACTCAACAACTATAAAGGTCACATTTTTCCCACACTGACCAATCTCAAAGACTTGTTAACCATCTTTTTTCCTGCTGGTTTGCATTTTTCTGCTTTGCTACAAATGGCACTGAAAAAATTCTAGACCATGGTCTGTAGTGTAAAAAGGTGGGCATGTTATGAGTGCACTAAATGCCAATGAAAATTAATCCAAGGCATGAGATTCTTAAAAAAAAAAACCTAAAAGTTATTTAAAGGAGGGAAGAAAGTTATCTACAAAAACTCTATTATTTAATACTAATTTATCTTTTTTGATGTAAAATTTGTTATAAATAAGTTATTTACAACAGATTGAGTTACAAAGAAAAATGTTATTTATAGCACTGTTGATTTTTAAGTGAAAGAAAATGATTTTGCATCTAACAAGCTTAAAGAACCTCTCATGATTAGGGAATCCCTATGTACACTCTTGAAAATTTAGTAATAAGCTCCAATGGGGGCTTTTCAGGGACAACACAAATAGGGAAAAAATTTCCACATAAACAAAATTTGATTAAAAATCCCAGTTGGTTAGACATAGTCCTTTTGGCTATATTTATTTGGTGCAGCTAAGGAATTGAACTTATAAAAGCCAATGTAGGACAAATTTAGTGGAAAGTAGGGTGTTAGGGCATGAATCTGTGACTAGCAAACCACACATTCAGCCATTTGGCTGCACTGCCTCCAAAAAAAAACTGAAAGTAAACCAAAATAAAACTTACAGTAGGCTGAAGTTTTTTTATTGTGACCTTGAGATTATTCTGACTTTTTTTTGTTTATAACCTGGATGAAAGCTTGTTTTGTTTTGTTTTGTATTCTCTTGATATCAGGGCCTTTCCTTTGATCAATTGTCCATTTTATCAGTTACAGAATTAATTCTGTCTTTGTTTGCTGATGAATGTAGTCACCTTAAAGAAAATAAAGATTGTAATGTTTTAGTTATTTTCTTAAAGATTAATAAGGTTTCTCTGTTTTTTTAAGGGCCTTTTATTCTCAGGTTGAAGTTTCTTAATATTGTGTGATGATAAATAATATGAATATTATTTAATATATTGGTGTTATTTATTGCAGTAAGAAAACTGTTTTATATGTAAAGTGATCATGCGAATCCTTAAATTATGTGCAAAGTAAACTGAACAGTAAAGAGAAACTTAATATATGGTATGTTTAAGGCAAATGTGTATTCATAAAATTAAAGACAATGCATCAAAAACGGTGATTTGAATAATTTTTTTAGGAGTGATTATGTTAAGTAGGGTGTGCAATGTAATGTATAGGTGTCTACCTGTTCTGAACTTGTTGAGTTAATAGTCTACTTTACAGTATAGTGTGCTTTCAAGTAGTTGCCCAGCCTTTGCACAAAACTAAGCTTTCAGTTGACCCTAGTTTGATAGCAACATTGTTGCTTGTCAATTATGTACATGAGTATTTTCTTAATGTCTCTATTATATCAGGCAGGTATAGCGTCACTTCTGTTCAATGGCTTGGCAACTAAGCACATTTGTAAAATTGATTATTCGCATGTTTTTTTTTTTTTTCTTTTTTTGTGATGGAGGCTTCAATGCCTTTAGCCCGTAGAGATCCTTAAAGCAAGCTGCTCTACTTCTGGCTGCTGTCACGGAGTATATGGACTTAAAAGAGGTATTGCCGAAATTGAGTAATTTTTCGATGTACCAACCTACCTTCCAAAGCTAATTCTACTAAATAGTAGTTCGAAAAGAAAAAAAAAACGCACACACACAAAAAGCTAATTAAAAAAAAAAATTTAAATTGAGTTTAGGAGCGTGCTGTTGTTACAGAAGTCGCTCCCTCAATTTTAACACCTAACTTTTATGTTCATTTTACACACTCAATCCCACCCTTGCATACGCTTTGTTCCTTTTTTACCCACTGATCACGAGTTTGCTCATCAGTGGAGTGGGAACCCATTTTCATGGGATCCCATACATCAACACCAAGGGAAGCCACAAAGGTTGCTAGTGAAACTACTGGTTAATATATTTAATACTATACAAACNGGTTGGCCTGATTGAAAATGACGAAAGTGCTCCAATATAAATCAGTCCCTTAGATGTCTCAAGTTTTAGTTCTACCAAAGCGCTTTTGTCTCTGATTTTATCACTTGCTACCCTTAAACAATACCTCGCTAGCTTAAAGCATTTCCTTTCCGTCCTGAGAAGATTTTTAAGTTCAAAATCCATCATTTCCATTTCTCCCTGAAGCGAGACGCGTCTCGCTCAGGACTAAAAATTGATTTTGTCTTCGTGAAGCTTATTTAACAGCTGATGAATGTACCCTTAATCTCAAAGCTGCATATTTCAATTAAGTCCCCAACCCTAATGCATAACTGTTTGTAGCCACTTGAACCTGGCGAGTACCTTTTTCAGGTTTTTAACAATATTTGTGCTGTCATAAGAATCCCCCTTTAGAAACTTTTAGTCATCATGACGAAAAGTTTCAAAGTCTACGGTATATAAGATCGCTACTTATAGAGACTTAAGTAAACTATGTGACCATCCACTGGTGATCTGTGGGCTTGCATTATACGACACGGTACAGCGAACTTATGGTAAACCTGTGGCTTTCATTCATTGCATACAGTTGTTGCGTAAGGGAAATTCCACTCATCACATGACTTTGCAGACTTCGTCTGTTAAACGTTACCCTATAATTTGTTACCATCCTAAAACTTTTCTTTATGACGACTTCAACCTTGATATCTTCGATTAAGGTAATTTTATAGACCCACTACAAGTTAATCATTCAATGAGCAAATTATGCAACAAAGCCGGTCTCCACCAATATGGGTAAGTTGGAATGCTGATTACTCGAAACTTCCGCTGTTTCCCAACAGTTTTCGGTTTCCATTTCATGGAAAGTACGATGAAGTTTGAATCTTGTTGAATGTCTTTGAGCTTTAGTTTATTTGTCGGTTTGTTTTTTTCATTTTTATCTTAGGGTAGTTATGGAGCTGATGTCCTTTTATTGTTCATCAACATTGTGTTGAAATTTCAGGTGTGAAATTTAAGACTCCAATGCTTGGTTCAAAGATTCTCGATAGTTTTGAAGTTTTCAAAGCCACAGCCCGCTTAGTTTCAACGCCGTATCTGGTGACTGACTCAATCTCAATGTAGAGTAATTAATGTCGACCGGCGCTATTTGAACTGGTAGTCTCATACGACTGATTTCACTCGCAGTTGTCCTGAAGGTAGGTCGAGCAAAACGATGTGGTGACAACAAAAAGAACTCTTATTATACTAAGCAATAGATGAAACGAGTAAATAAACATGTGGGTTACAAGACAAGAATGTTACATGATATTCAAAGCACATCTTTTACAATTACAAGATGTGCTAATTACAAGAAGATAATGGCTCCATATTATAACTATTTCAAACAGTTTCAGGTTATTGATGTTTTATTATAGCCAGAGGATTTTGAAGGAGTGTTTAACTTTACGCCTCGATGTAATTCGCGCCGTTAGGCGCCAAAGCAGTGATGAAACTGGACAAAATGTCTGAGCAAATTGTGAAACTGAGCGCGGGATAGTTCGTGTAGAGTATACCTAGGTTGATGACAACAAATCCAGATATTGAATGCAAAAATGGAAATCCATGTTATCTAGAAAGACAGAAGTTTTGATACAACTGATTGCACATTGTTTGTGAACAAGAGCTCAGGCGAAAAATTACAGCTAATACTAAAAATATTTTGATTTCAATGTTGATCAGTGTGGTCAATAAACCTATCAAGTAAAAGAAAGTTGTTAAACCATTAAGAAACGAAGCTAAAAAGAAAAAACAAACGAGAACATCGTATGCTAGTCTATTGTGCAAGTCTTTAATCTATGTAAATTGTCTACCGTCCTCTACAAAAAGAAAACAGCTTTCCTCTTTTAGTTTGTTGGCCGCTATTTTTTAACACTGCTTTCGAAATCAGACCTCACTGGGAATACATTTACATCAATGTTACAAACTCAAGTCCCTGCCATTGATTCACCCTTATATTGAATAATCCTGAGGAAGCATATCAACCAAACCCTGAACAAGAATTAGACTTCGCTGAGAGGCGATAAGAGAAAGAACACTCAACTTACCCTATACAGCCCTGTGCATTTGAGAAACGTTTGGGCTTTTTAATAACGTCACTCACGTTCACAGCATAACAGTTGTCCTATCATTGGTATCAATTCATTGCAATATTATTCCACTGCCGATCAAATTATGCGGGCACGACTGCGGGATGTTTTATACCGAGTATACGTGATCCGTAAATACCAAAGATACTATTTCCCATCAGGATGCCTTTAAATGCTAAATATATTTATTAGCCAATCTGTTTTACCGGTGATTATCTTATTGCAAATCCATATCGTTCTTCAGATTGCCAAGGTTTAAAAAGTATACTTTATAACCTTGGAGGTTGCCACTGAAACAAGATGGCGCTACAACCATATCGGGACGAGCAGTTAAACTATCTCAAATTCGCCTTCATTGTAGTGAATGAGTTCCCAAAGGCCTCACTTCAGACTTTCAAGTCCATGTGGGACAACAGCTTGACACATCTTTCCGGTCATCAACTGTGGGATGACTCCCTTGTCGAGAGAATATTATTTCTCGCTTCAGAGGGTAGCCCCAAAAATCTCAAGCTTCCACAAACCTCTCCTATGAAGAATGAGATAACACCGCTCTGGTCAAGGCCACCATTTACGCCAAGTCCTTTGCTTTGCTCGACAGTAGAGGTCATCTCAAGACACTTGGGGAGCTGTTTGTGAAACCTCTAAAAATGGCTCATGGAGTGTTCCATGCATCGGTAACGAGCCTGAGTGGAAACAATGCTGAAATGTTTGCTCTTGCAACTGATCACCTTCGACTTTTAAGAAATTCGCTTTGTCACTCGCACTCCTCTGAAATTGTGAAAGCTACGTGCAGCACGCTACAGACGCATTCAATGCTCTTGGTGTCAAGAAGGACCCTATTGATGCCATTGGTGGTTTAACAGAGTCAGAATTTCCCACAAATGAGGTTCGTAAACTAAGAACGTATCAAAGAGGAATATCGGGCTCATGTAAGTTTTCTACAAGAAAAGAATAAATTACAATAACAACAGATAAGTTTTCTACAACTACAGAATCAATTTCAACATCAACAAATCAGTTTTCTACAACAACGTGTGGAGGACATCAGCTCGGATTTAAAAGCCTTCAGTCACAAAATGGAAGAATTGCCAACTAAAGACGACTTTCGAAACATGCTGGCACAAGTGACCACTTAAAAACAGGGGGCAGCTTTGAACTTGCTAGGTGAATACTTATTCAGTTTCGACTTCAAATGTTTGATGCCTGTGGTTTTAGTTAAGGTCGCTTCGTTAAACTCTTTTTATGATTTAATCGTCTTTTCCTCACTTTAAAACCCTGTACATCCTATCGGAAAAGTTTGCGACAAAACTGCTTTCATGTCCAGACGAACGTCGAAGTAAAGGGCTTTCACCGTAAAATTAAGTGCTTATCCTTGTGGTTTTAAGAAACGAAACTAGTCCCTTTTTTAGAAGATTCTAGCGCTTCATATAAAAAAATGCGGAGGAGATCATGGAAAATTTTGTAACCATTTAAAAGTGCATTGCACAATGTGTGCCCAGCTCTCAAAGTGAAATATCGTAAGATGCCTTTTTTTGTTTTTTATTTTCTTTATCATTATTTGCCTGATAATTAACCACAATCTACCCAGGAAGCAATAGTCCTTTTCACAGTTGTGGGCTTGGTGGCCAAACCTTTGAACAGGAGTGAGGCTTAGGGTGACCTTGTTATGATAGAGATGTTGCTGCTTTTCAAATGCAAATTACTTTGTTATCATGCTAACTAGATACAGGTCTCTATCACAACAGGGTCACCCTTAGCCTCACTCCTGTTCAAAGGCTTGGCCACCAAGCCCACAACTGTAAAAGGGACTATT